TCTCTTGTGGCTCATTGTTCGTCATTCTTCGGAGAAGTGTGGTACCTGCTACACACTTGCAAGAAATTTTGTGCAATTTTCGTATGTTGTGGCTGATGAGGGTGAAGGATCATGCCTGAAGCTTTTGTAATGGATTAGAGCATTCAAAAACCTCCTCGTTATGCATTCGCATTGTGTGATGACTGGCTGATTCCTTTGGTGTTTTAAAATGCTTTATTACTCATATTGACTCGATTCCTTTCCCGACATCAAGCATGCCTAAGGCTAGTTTGCGATGAAGTTCCAACAGCGGCACGGCTCAGTGGTAGGACCTGGGCTGGCATGCAGGGGACCCAGGTTCGAATCCCTACGACCTTGGTGTTATCTATTTACAAAGTTTGCACGATAGCGGCTACTGACACCGGCGGCAGTGGCAGTGGCGGACAGCTACGATGCATGCGACCCTTGTTGTGGTCTCACACAGCTTTCACTGTAAAAAAAAGCATGTATATCCCGCGACACGTGTAATTCTTGTTGGGGAGATTCGCAAACTGGATGTGCGACATCTGCGCACTTTTTTCCGCGCTTCATCAACTTCCTGCTTATTATGGCAGCTGAGATATGTGCCGTCTGCAGCGAGTTCCATCAAATTGTTACCAGCTGCAGGCGCACATATGCAGAAGGCATATACCGTCAAATTGTGATGCAGCACCGGTGAAGTGCAGGGGGAGGGTCACTTACTCACCTGTTGAGGCAGTGGTGCTCTCGTTTGCAGGGCCCTAAAGTCATTGAAGGCTTCAGACACGTTTTATTGACTTTCACCTAATTATTACAATTAGCTCTCGGTCATTTCTGCTAATTATATTAATTTAGATGTTATTCATTCATTTTAGCCCAGTTTTGAGCACAGTTAACTTTGTTATGCCCTGTATTGAGCGCTTTAGTGCAAGTGTAATCACGTCACATGAAAACCATGGATGAATGAATGATAACCTGAGCTTCAAACAACACACATGTGGCAAATATATGGGCATGCTGTTCGACAACTATTGCATAGATCTTCTTAGATCTTCTCTTGACTGACGGTGTTTGACGTACTCAACCACTCTTTATAGACGCAAATTTTTTTCTTTATGTTGAAAATATAATCTTATCTTCCAGGGCTACTGCGTGAACAACAGCGTGCACCAAAATAGTGCAGTGAAAACAAAAGCAGTTATCAAAATAATTACAATTGAAGTGAACATCAACCTTTACACATACTGAAAGAACATGAAGCAAAATGACTCAAGGTGAAAACAAGCCAATAGCCGTGGCTAGACATTTGTGCTCAGTGCAGGTATGTCACGAGGAAAAGAGCAGTATTTCTCTTGCTGTTTTATAGATAACTACAACTCAACCCCTTTATAAAAGATGCGCACTGTGAAAAAATTCTTGTCTCTTTCATGAGGCGTTTCTTATACCAATGCTGGCACACTGGTGCCTCTTACATCAGTGTCTTTCATAAAGAAGTTAGACTGTGTTAGGGGGAATTCCATAGCCACTCTAGTATTCTTTAGATTCACTTACGCGGCCAGACGACCAAGTCGGGAATGCGAGCGAACGAACCTTCCCGCAGGATGAAGATCTCACGCATGGTGTGACCTGCATGAAAGATCAGGCAATGGTAATCAGACGATTGAAAATACAGATAGACTGACAACAGCCAACGTAACATTGGGTGACTTGATGTTAAATTTTCCTTTGACAAGTTCAACAAGAAAAAAGAACTCGCTAATATTGTGTCTAAAAAAAACGCGCCCTCAAATTTTCACTTCTTTCCTTAATTTTGGCAATTTTAGAAATTCTGAATGTCCTGCTTTATCATCAACACATCATTTTAATTTTAAAAAGAAATAGGCATTTGGTGAATAAAGGGAAGTTGGCTTCCTAACTCAGGCAGACAATGGTGGCCATTTTAATTTTAATTTTTAAATTTCGATCATATTAGCCACAAGGACCAACTAAATTTATATACAATTTTCAGGTGGCTGAGTGCATCAAATCAAATGAGTGAAGTTTCTCGCATCTGACACTATATTTCTAAAATGCTGTTACCCTCAAATATCACACTGTGTACAATTATATATTCCTTGCTTGTGCTGATAAGCAAACTCCAATAATGGCAAGCACCAAGAGTGTAGCCAAAATTTTTTTAAGGCAGGAAGGGGGGGGGGTCAGTCTTCTACGCTTCATGAGCATTCATCTGTGCGTGTGTTTGTATGTGTGCACATGAATACATGTTATAAAATGTCCAAATTCGGGGAGGAGGAACTTAACCCCCAAATCTTCTCTTGACATACCACTGGGAGTGCCAATCACAGAGACACTGCTAACAGAAACAATGCCAATGCACAATTGCATAATGAACAAATGAATGGACATAAGTGATGGTAGAGTATGTCACTTAGGATAACAAAAAGTACACTGCACACAATAATCATGACACAAGTCATTACCATGTGCCCTGAAAAGCCTGTCCTGGCCATCGGCCGAGTAGGAAATGCCGGCACGACGAACGTCCTCCAGGAATGCCTCGTTGATTATGGGGGGCGGAAGTTCCTGGTCTGAAGGCGGGGGCTGTAGTCAGCGCAAAAGACAACAGCGGGTTGGTTAGCGAACCACATTTGTCACATAACCAAAAGGGCCACCTCAAAGGTTAAGAGAAGAGGAATTGTCAGTTAATTTTATTCAAAATGTGCCACATTTACATTTAAGCAAATTTCATAGCAAAAACCCCTGTCAAACAGTTAGTGATGAAATGTCGACAATAAAAACAGGCACGAAACAGAAAGTAGAAACACAGCAATGAGAAATTGACATTGCAGATGTATATTATCAGTACGTTAAAGTTTAAATACTGACACATACTGACAATCGCAGCTATTCGGGCATATTTACATGTCTACTCACTCACTCGGTCTACTCACAGCTGCAACTACTCACTTGCGTACTGCCTTTATCCTACCCATGATAGAGCACGGTATCTAAAAAACTGCCACTGAACCATTACATGGTTACCTTAAGCTTACGCGGTGTGAAAAAGCACTACCTTTGAGATTTGTTTCCATTCACTGGAGGGTGCGATGTTGATATGAACAGAGACACAGCTGAATACAAAGCACTGTGAATATAAAATTTTAGGAGAAAAGTGAATTTGAATATTGAGTGCGAGTGCGAACTGAATCAAATATTTTTTGAATATTTCTACAATATGTCTTCATACCTAAAAGGGAAATTGCAGAAGAAATGTTGGAGAGCATTCCTAAGCATTTCCCTATAAGGTAGCAACACAAAAGTGTTTTTTTTGGTTAGGATGATGAAGCACTGTAGAGGGCGGTGTTTCATAACTGTCGCATCAAGAATGAGGCAATTCAGAGGTGAAATAGTACTTAAGTGCATGATTTGGTGCAACCGAAGAGTTGCCTGAATTTCACATCCAAAACACCATTGATAGAGCCCTCAGATCTGCCACATCTATTATCTGCATGGTGGAACCAGCGTTTTCTTGAGTCGATGCCTTTGCGACTGTAGCAGAGCTAAAAAAGCAGCTTCGACGACCTACACGAGAATGTGGTTGAATGAAGCATATTGAAAATTTAACGAGGCCACTGCCAACTGGACGTTGAACTTATTTGTCTTTGGGAAGTTTGAATAGTTCAAATAGCGAAATTCCAGTGCAAGTCGAATAGAAAACACTAGCTGAAAAACATACATTTCAAATATTCACATACTCCTAATACAAAGTTGAAAAAAAAAAAAAACTTATTTTTTTCTGCAAGTCAGGGAAGAAACAGTACTAAGTGTCGCACCAGAAAATACACATCATTAGGTGTGTAAAATACACACCATCACAATAATGCAAATGAAGGCAAAGCTAAGTGCGAAATGCCTATAAATCAAATATTGCAAAGAGTGGCATGCAAGGTGCAGTAGTAACTAGTAGTAAAACTGCTGGTTTTATTTAGTTACTGCACTACTAGCAGCTATAGCGACTGGTAGTGCAGTAACTAAAATAAAAACAGCATAAGCATTCAGCTTTCAAACAGTTCGACCCCACAATACACATTAATGCTCAGCTGCGCACAAGACAGCTTGGCTGGATTTAAGATCAATATGTCACTTGTCGCTGGCAGGTACAAAGGTGCGGTCTGCTAAGATATAATGCGATGACAGACAAAAACACTTCAACATTACTTTCAAAACAGACGCTGACACATTGCCATTGGCCACAGAGCACGTCACAAAACACTGCTTACAAGACAGTGAAGTGGCACGTTCCAGGAGAGACATGGCCCCAGTGGAACATGTTCCTGAGCTACTCAATTTATATGGTCTATGTGGAATCTACAAACGCGGGTATTATGGTCCACATGTACATTTAGTGCCAATACAAATAAAGAAAAGGCCCAGATGACGAGGTGAGCAATAATAATGAATCTCGCGCACTACACAGCACACTAAGAAAAGCCTTCAAGGTATCGTCTCCTCCGTTCGCTTTTCTCTATACTAATTCTTCCAAGGTGTCCACAGCGTTTATACTTTGTAGTAACGATGTTCCCTGGCAATCCATGGACTTACCCGGTCACACGTGCGGATAGGGTTAACGGCCACAGAGGAAGAGCCTTGCAAGGAGGACTTGGTGCTTTTTATAGGTGCCTGAAGGATACATGCAAAACGGATGCAGGGCAGAAGCCAACCGACACAAGCAGTGAACAGAGACAGCGAGCAGGCATGCAAGATAGCACGAGGCACCTCTGTAAGCAAGTTGAGGCTTAGCAACAATGAGATGCGACAGGCAGCAACAGGGCAAAAGAATGCTTATGCCACCAAAACGAACACAAAGCCAGCGAAACATTAAGATTTTCATGCAAACAAAAGAAAAGCACCTACGTGAAGATGTGAAATTTAGAAAGAAAGGTCAAATTAATTTAGGACAGATTCTTGGTGTAGAAATCGATGCATTAAAAACATGGACACAGTAAGACCGATGACACGGTAGCTTTTTAAAGAGTGTGAAGACTGAAAGTATACTTTGAAATTACTAGCAGTTATGTTTAAGATTACAGTCATACGAATAAATAAACTGTGTCTTTATGTTTGAGGTGTTGCGTATCAGCATATAACAGGCCTCTGCATCAGTTCTCTACAAATTTGTGCTAACAAATAATCATGTCTAAACAATTTGTGCACACGACTGAAGGGTATGTGCAAATTTTTTTTTCATCATGACGAGATAATTTTTCTGACTTTCTAGTCCTCTCTTACAGTGACACTTTTTATGTGGTAGTTAGAGTCTGTGTTAGCTCTCTTGTTCATTGTGTTTCTGTATTTTGTATGACTAGCTTTCCATAATATAAATGCATAGTCAAAAAGTGGAGCCAAGAAGATCACAAAAAATCAACAATACTTTCTATTGGTCAGTCTTAAAAATGCAGTGGTTATTGTGTGGTTCAAGTACTATGGTAGTCATTGTTTTTGCTGTCTGCAGTACGCCTCACTTGCACCTTCCTTCCAAGGGAGCAATAAACGTTATGTGGACACTATTGCGTAACATGAGAAATTAACTAGGAAAGTAGAAATGAAAGTGAACGAAGAGACATCTTGCCACCATTGGGAGTCAAACCCACAACCTCCATCCTACGAGCTACCACAACTGTGTCTCAGGTCAGCAAAGCTTAGTGCTGTCAGTCATGCTGGCTATCACTACCGGTGCTATGTTAGAAATAGAATTATCCGAGGAAGTGGATGTGGGGAAGTTCGATAGATACAGAATGCCACACAACATTTTTTTTATTTATTTACACTCGTACCCACAGCGCCATTTAGGCATTACAGTGTGTGTGTGTGGGGGGGGGGGGGGGGGAGTGTGTTACACAGAGAATTTATAAATCATACATTTCAAGAACATTGGCAGTGAAAAACTCCAAAAAAATTTGAAGGTCATGGGTTTCAGTTACCACCAGCAGTAAGTTGTTCTACTACTTTCTTATCGCCAATCGCTTCGTTTTTGTACACTCCAACTAACGAGAAAAGTACTACATTTACACGCAAACCTCGATATAACAAAACACCCGTTATAATAAAGTAAATGAAAAATAGTCTTGCAATAGATATAGTGTGAGCAATAAACCTTCATAATGAAGTTTTGGATATAATGAACTTATTTTAGTGGAAGATGGTACTTTGTTGTAATGATGTTTCAGGGTGCTCTAATGTAACATGACCACATGTGCAATGCGAGGCATGACTTTTCATTGCATCCAGGAAGAAAAAATTTTTATTTTGTTTTTCGACTGTAATTCAAGGGTCGACGTAAGGTAGCAAGTAATCTTGGACAAAGCTTGCGCTAAATTCAAGTAAATACTCCAGCTGCCTTATTGTGAGCTGCTCAGGGAAATGTTTTCCTGCGAATATGTGAGTGCAATTTGAACAATACACGATGCCAAAATTTAATGTTTTGACTTTTCTGAAAAACGCAACTAATGCTCAGAAGAAACGTTTCCATATATTTCCAATCAAAGACGAGTTATTTAGAGCAGTAGGTAAAAAAATTGGCAAAAAGTTAGCGCCCCTCGTGTATACTCTTCATGCCTATGCGTGTGCTTCATATGAATTGTTCTAGGTACTGCACTAGATGTTTTCAGACCCCATGCATTAGAGACAGAATGCGATTAAGAATGCATTGGTATTGGATTTGATACCCAGGCCATGACGAATTTTGCATGTAGGGGAGTGGGGCAGGTGTAAGCTAACTCCTCGTGCATCGGATGCGATATGAAGCATTTCTTCAGAGGTCCCCCTGCACACTTCTGCCCCCTGACATGCATGCATGCACACACACACCAGAGAAAAGCATCACCGGTGCTCCTGCCTCGCTTGTGGGCATGTGCGTAGGAGGGTGAATACAGGTATAACAGCATCATGTGCGGTACCTATCAGCGGTCACCACAAAGTACGACAGACCTCGGGGTTCTGCCTCTTCTGAAACTAAGTACAAGCACACATTTTTCTGTGACAAAAGTTAGTGCAAACGATGCACAAACGAAACAGAATATGTGACAGCACAATGCATGCAAGCAAAAGCATACACGATGGCAGACTCCTGGGGGAGAAACAAAAACGGCTGCAAGTCGGAAATTAGGGCAAAGGTGACCAGCGTGCTTGTGACCAGCGTGCCTGTGGGGTTCCACCTCCTGGCCAGACTTGAGTTACCTTTCCTTACCTGAGCCGGCATGAGGACACTAAGGTCGACGCCCAACGCCGACTCGACCCAGGCCTTGAAGTGAGGCAGCACCTTGTTCCCAATCTTGTACCTGATGAGCCGAAGTTAGCAAATGATCAGACATGGAAATGGGTAATTGAATCATAAACAGATGCCTATCCAATGTTATAAGAATATGATGCACATTAGCTTGAGATAATCAGCACTGATATAAAAAGTTATCCTGTAATAAAATAGAACTTGTTTTTTTTTACAGTATCAGCATGCTGCATTCAATGCAGCATGAATGCTCAGCATTGAATGGTACAAAACATAATGAAGGTATTTTTATGTTTAACATGAATTCGTAGCAAGAAGCCTTGAGGGTGCTCGTAGTAAGCAATTAAGCTTTGTTGCACACTCAAACCTCGGTATAACCAATTCAGATATAAACAATCATTGGTTATAACGAACTAAGAGATCAATAGCTTTACCATGAATACAGTGGTACAAATAATTGTTATAACCTATAACGAAGTATTTTCGAGGCAGATGCAACTGTCATAATGAGGTTTGAGTGTAGTTTTAATACTGTTTCAACAGCTGAGTCTATATTATGTAAGGTGGGCAAATAAATGCTCGTCATGGCAAGCACAGATTCTGCAGCCACGTTTAGTCTTTCGTTTTAGCCTATAGCAACGCATGCATTTGCTCTCCTTATGCAAGCAGAAATAAGGCCATAAGTGTGTTTTAATACCATCACTACAATTACACTAGCAACCTTAGGAACTTTGTTCTAATCAGACTCACACTTTTTATTATTACTACTGGATCTATAAGCAATAAAAAAAGTCAGTAGACAACTCAGTCATGAGACCGATAGAAAATATTGTGGCATATTTTTAAGTCGTCTCAATATACTGGCGTCACCCAACGCCAATTCGAAAAGGGTGCTCATGTTCCTACACAATTAAAGCGAGTATACTGCACTATCGTAAAGTTGTCACGCAAAACTTGATGCAATACTCATGTAGAACATGCCAGATATTGTCAAGGCCACACGTAATGGCTGCTTTTTAGACTGCGTTTGTAGTACATAGGTCGCCAAATTCACTCATAAGTCAACTCGCACAGACTCGGATCGAGCCGCAAGTACGAATGGGTCTAGATGAGTGATATTTTGGTGAAATTGAGTCTGAGTGAGTCCGGTTGAAAAAAAATTCATGAGTGCGAGTTCGAGTGAGTTTGGCTCAGGAAAATTTTCTTGAGTCTGAGTGAGTCCAGAGTGCAAGGTATATTTCTTGAATGAGTCTTGAGTGAGTTCCACTTTTTTATGCCTACCTATGGTCTTATCTACTCATCTTCACCGTCACAGTGAGCCTTACATGAACTCACTTCTATACTCACACATATTCCAAAGCAGTATCGTTCATGCACCATTTCAATATTTATTGATCAGATGCTCGAAGCACATGGAGGGGTGCCTTGACCTGATTGCCACCAACTCTTCTGGGGAAGTTCTCAATATAGTAAATATATCTTAAGTTCTCATTTATTTCAAGAAAAATTTCTTTACTGGTTTGCAACCACTCACAACGTGTACTATGAGGTACTACTATATCAAAAAGCAGTTGGTACAGCACCTTTATGTGAGATATTGGGGTTAAGGAAGATTGGCACCATGGTTGGAAAAGCTAGTTCTAGGCTAACGGACTCATTTGTCGACTCACTCAAACTCGAATCGAATCGCGAGTCTGAGGGAAACCGGTGGAGTAACATTTTAGCGAGTTTCAGTCTCAGTGAGTCTGGCACTGAAAAACCTTGGCGAGTCTGACTCCAAGCGAGCCCTAAGTGCAATATAAACCTCGATATAAACAACCCAGATATACAGAATATTGGTTATAACAAAGTAAATGAAAATATTCTTGCAATAGACACAGTATAGAGTTAGGAGTATGTATACCTTTATAACAAATTTTCAGATTCAACAAACTTATTTTCATGTGAGATGACACTTGGTTATAATGAGGTATGAGTGTACATATTGGAAGAGAGCCTGAATCATCTCCATAATGTTTGCCAACCAATGGTGTAGTATGCGCTAAAAACTATCCAAATAATAAAGCATCTGGTCAAGGGAGTTAACAGACTTTCACTGCTATCATGCTACGGCTAAGCACCCCTACCTATTCAAATACACTTCTATAAACTTCCACACAGCTGGAGTGAAGTCCCTGTCCAGCTACGGCGCTATCAGGACCTCTCTGCTAATCATGATTATTAAAACACCACATGAAATAAAGTTTTTTTAAATGATGATCACAGAGTGGCCCACATATTTGCAATTCAAATGCTTCACGTTCTGACAAAAATGGGATTACATACTGGATATCGAAAAACCAGAAATGAGCCATACACATTCATAAAAAAAGGCTTTCTCAGCTCACCTGTCACCTGTGAACGAAATATGATGTGTGGTGCCATCAACCACAAACTTGGAGTCTTTGTATCCCCAGCCATTCCACTTCAGCAAGTCTTGCCTGCAGAGCAGAGAATCACAATAAGTATGCAAAAAGCTCGCCTGTGCATGCTACAGCAAGGAAGCATTTACATGGCACTTGGCAGAGTTACATGGCACTTGGCAGAGGCACGTTAGACTGCACACATGAGACTGAATGTTTCTTCATGCTTCGCGATACCTAGAAAATACTTTGAAAAACTTATGGCTGAATGCAATTAAACCAAGCACGCTGAGTGATACAAAAAATCACCGCGGAGAGCAGCCGTGTCCCATGCATTAAATAGTATGCTGTCCAAATTTCTCTTTGTATTGCTGGTGGAGTGGTAACGCACAGGAGCTCGAATTTCAAGGCACAAGTGCCGTCCGCCTCGCTTTCACGAACTGACGATGAGTAATGTGCAGGAGAAGAGAACAAGGTGACACTAAGCATGTCTGTTGCTATGACAATGCGACAAGGAAGAGGAGCAAGTTGGCCTTGGCTTTGACTTAAGGTCAAACGCACATGCAAACTCTTTCTCTGGGAATAGCAGAGAGCTATCGCTTTGAAAAGTGAAAAGGGGCTACCTCATGTGTAGATACGGAGGTCACATTCCCCGTATTTCCCACAGGATGAAAAACAAAATACGGCTACGGGAAACTATTGCCTGTTAACTGGTCAACAAAATAAGTTCTAAGCTGAGCTAAGGTGCTGTGGTACTGTTATCACAGTGAAGTTAGTAGAGGCGACTTTTCTATTTGTACAGTTCATTTTGTTGTGACAACAATTATATGAACATTCCGAGCGAATCATCATTGTTGTAATGTTATGACAAAGCCCATGCACGCAATAAGATTCCACCAAGTGTACTATGTTGTGTGTGAAACAAAGCGCACGAAGGTAAGCTGAGAAGCATGGTGCTTTAAAGGGACCCTGAAACGGTTTCGAAGGTTCTTTACAAACATTGGGCCGGTAGACCAAGCCCCACGGGTAATTTAGAGACTGATTTGAGCTCTCTGCCTAAACTGTGTAATTTATTACAACCCTTTAAAGCTGCGAATTGCTCCGGACCTGTGCGACTCGGCCAAACACATTTTCAACCCCCCATACACCAAGCGACCCACTCTTCACCACTGACGTCATCGTTTTCAGTTTATCTACTGTGGAATGCGCAGCACAGGATGCCGGTATCAAATTGGCAGTGGGATCTACGAATATGTAGTCTCACGCCACATCGTGATGCAGGCGCCGTGAAAGCGGCGCTTAGCCCCGAGCACTAGAAGGAAGAGTCGAGGGCAGTTGAGGGTGAAAGGCGGAGCGGAAGAGGAGGGTATTTTTTTTGTACTCGTAGCTCCGTTAATAATGGGTGCTTCGATTGAACTTTGGTGCTCCAGTAGTGGTCTAATCAAAAACGGAATGTGACAAAACCGTTTCAGGGACCCTTTCATGCACAATGCCTTCCGGCGAGTCTAATGTTCAAAGTCACGTAATCATTTTACATAATTACAAGTCGCGCTAGCGCGGCCCATACAGCACACTTCGCTCGAGAACTCTATGTATCGGTCGTCGACTGCACGCCAATGACATAGTCTCTGATGCACTGTTTCGTTTGTGACGACGGCGTGGTCATAAAAACAGGCTATGCATAACCCTAGACGCAGTGGAGAAAGCTGATGAGATTGAGCAAGAAACCGAAACCAGCTGAAATCTTGTGCAAGTTCATTACTACACCACTAATAATTAACGAATTGATGCGGATGCATGTTCACATAGTACATCTGCATCACGAATTTTAGAACACGGTGTTGTTGAAGATAGAAATCATAGGACAAAGTGCACTACTAGCAAGTGAAAAGTTAAAGCACCCATCTCAGTGGTCTTGTGGTATAGGGTGCGCTCAACTTCCGGCCAGAAGATGGCAAGATAGAATCCCGGCCATGGCAGCCATGTTTTTGATGTAGGCAGAAATGCCCGAGGTCGGTGTGCTTTGATAAGTACGTTAGAGCCCCTGGGGGTCGAAACTTCCTAAACGCTCTACTAGGACGTCTCTTATGATAATATCATGATTTTAGGACATAAAACCCCAACAAATATTATTACAAACCAGCAGCACTGCTTTCCTAACACCGCAACTAAACCTTTACCTTGTGAGCTATGCAATGACAATGGTACAGAGGCTAGCGCATGACTGCGAACCCTGGGTAATTACTCTGTTTATGAAAGAGCTAAGTTCACTTTAATGATACACATAAAACACACTTTTCTGCTATTGACAATACGGTTAGACCTGCTCCTACAATATTTAAACATGAAAGTACTTTATGTGGTGAGCTTGAGCAATCACTCTTGCCTGTTGTGGTCTTAAAAGTATAACGTAACACTTCAAATATGTGAAGATTTAAGAGCAACAGGCTACAGCTTTGCTGTAACATACTTGTAGTCAAGTGACGTAGCTAGTCTAATATGTAGATTATCTGTTGTACTGCAAAACCTTTTGTATGCAGGAAGAAATCAGCTTGGTATGCACAGCTTTATTATATATACCGTTAAATCCCTATCATGTACCATCCCCCCCCCCCCCCCTTGGTGAAGGAAAATTCTACAAAATTTAGAAAGGGCGGGGATCTTACTAAAGGGTCCCAATAAAAACGGTGAAAATTAAGAGGCAAAATGTCAAAACGGCTAAAAATTGAAATGCCAAAACGAGACAATGCCAAGAACCACTTGAACCGTGCCGTAAAGCGCGCGCAAGATTTCATCGATTCTAAGGAAAAATGGATGACGCTGTGTGGTGTGCCCCCAGAAGGGAATCTTGTCTGCAGGGACGGTTAGTTTTTGACAAGAAAGTAGGCTCTCGACACTATTAGATGTGTGAGATGTGAAGAGAATTCAATGCCAAAGTGATTGATTGCCAAGTTTTCTCTAGAAAGTACTACCATAGTAATCTCAATGACAGTGATCCACACAATCCATATGCACCCTGCCACTCACAGAGCAAAAGCCAAGGGCGGAAGTTGTTTGGCAGCCTCTCTGGGTAATCGGTACAATGTCGATGTTTTAAGTTTTTTATGAGGAATTTTACACAACTTATTTTTCTGAAGTGCAATATACAAGGAATTGCTTTGCTATGCTACTGTCACGGACTGCCGTTTTTGCGACCCGGCGTCACGGCAATTAACGGGCGCCGTACTACCCCGCTGACCGGCGGGAACGGCGGGCGCATGAAAGAGAGCCGGGAAGTGCAGAATGGGGTGTTCTTCTTCAAACGTCGCCGCCGACGTTTGATCCTTTGTACCTACGCCGGCGTCTGCAGAGCCGTGGAAGGCCGCGATGTACCCCGAACAAGGTTTAGACTATGGGACGCACCGGCTGAGAGCCAAACAGTCTGACCGTTCCCACGGGAAAACTTCAGGTGGCCAATCCGTATCACAGCACTCCAACAGGTTGTCACTCTCGCTAGTTGAGGGCCCTCTCCTAATTAAAGAAGGGTGGGGTCAGTATATTTTTTTGGGGCGGAGTTTCCAACAACGAAACGCGCATGATTGGACCCATGTAGAGGTCTCTTGTCCCCAAGGGAGAGAGCGAGGGGACACGAGGGGGATTTAAGCGCAGGATTTTGCCCTGCTAGGCAGGCTAGTCGCTGACCAACATGATTTAGAAACAGATCAACAAGTATCTCTTCTAGAAGTTTTTAGTGTGGCTCTGTATCGGCTGGCCACCTAAACTTAGCCGTTCTTCTAGTTGTGACGCGATATTAACGTCTGAAACGTAGACATCGGGACTTCGCCTCGATTTAGCTCAACCTGCCTGAGGTCACCTGCAAGCACTAGCCTCCTGGAGCCACCAGCGTTGCAACACCGCCGACATCGCAGTCGTGCCCGAACTCTCTTCGACTTCTCGCTTCCGATCGTCGGGGACGCAACGCTGCCGGTCATCACACGTATGCCTTCACCTGTTTATATTTTCGAACTTTCTCCTTCGTAGTTCTATTGTTGTTAGTTTGTGTAGTTTGTAATAGTTCTCTCTCGTAAGCTGATTTATTATTTTTATATGTATTTTTTGTTGTATCAAGTGTTGATGTATTTTGTTAGTTGTATTGAAGTGTTGTGCTAGATCCCGTGTGCTGCAATATCACTAGAGTAAAGTTTGTTTTGTTTTCGCACGTATCTGATCTCTTCACTGTCTCTGCTTGCGTACGGCACGAACTAACATGCTGTCATCCCGTCGCCGACAGCGACGAGATATGCAATAATATATTCTTTTTTTTTTTTTGAGGCTTGCACCATATGCAAAGAAAACATCCATGGCTGTTGGGGAAAAAAGGGCGAAAGCGTGTGGGCACTATACAGGGCCACAGGAGCTGTTATATTGTAAAAATAATGAAATGCTTTATTGAGCACAAATGCACTCACTGTTGCCTTTCGTCCAAGTTTGGTATATAAAAACCGTGACTGAACCAGAGAAAATGGTGGGAAGGGAGGAAAGGCCGCATAATTTGAAATCTCCTGAGAGGAAGGAGAAGCGCTTGCGTGGTATTTTATGGTATGTAGGGGTAATTAAACAAGAAGTGCAACAGAAGGACACCAGTATAAATCAATAGAACTTCAATCAGCGTGCTGATCATGTTCTTTTTTTTTGTTATCGAGGTTTTCTGATAAATATCTGGTGTGACGTGTGCAAACAAACTTAGTTCGAAGTGAACACTCATTCAGTCGTCTTGTTCCTTCTTCTGTCATTGATTGATTGTGCTCCCTGATCAGGCGTGAACACCTACATGCTCGACTAAGTTTGAGTTTCGGTGAATGTACACGCAATAATTTCGAATTTTTTTCAGCCAATGCTGCAACAGCTCGAGCTGCAAAAGTTAAAGTTGTTGTGCAAATGTCAAAGCTTTTTTTTTTGGGGGGGGGGGGGGGGTGGTAGGATCGCGAAGGATAGTGTAAAGAATTTGAAGCAAGGTGAAAAAAATTCAGGAGCCCCCTCAGGAAAACGAGAGCACGTGAAACTGGGAGCGTGCGTGCCCGACCTGCAGCTCTCCCTTCTCGATTTATTTCTATCGTGTTGTGCACCGCTCCGTACGTCCCGACTCTTTCCTTCCCCCATGCCGGAAATTTCGTCGTCATCCCCGTGTTTCACAGCGCAACAACTCAGTTGGTGCGGGCATCCAGGAAACGTGACAACGCGAAACGACTAGTCACCTCGATAAAAGATCGCACTGCCATTTCAGAAACGGTTAGTGAAACATCGAAGAAAATATCGAATGTGTCTGGCGCAGCTTCCAGGTGCTGTGAATTCTTTGCTCTGTACCACAGAACACCCACCAGTTGACTGTACTGTATTAGGGTACCACCGGGTACCACACTTTTTTTTCTCTCTCGGAGTCGTTCTGCTTTTGCCGCCATGGGGGAATGTTTGCCGCTTCCACGGAGGCCGCCGCTCGCAGAACACCTACGGCAACTTCTAACGCTGGGTGGATGGATGAATTGATGTGGCTGTACCCCACGGAGGAAGGGAAGGTGCTGTACCCTTTTAATCGGGCGGCGGCTATCGCCATCTAGCTGTATACTTAGTGAACCAACAACTAGATTTATCTTTTAGTACTTTGCAGTGAATGGTTTAATTTCCACTCGTGCCTTGACTTTAGCCACCAATCAGATAACCTCCTTTTAGTTAATTCTCCCCGCTTAAAGTCTATTTTGCCCTCCCTGTCTCTAAACACCAGTGCTTTGAAAAACTCTGCGCCATCATCCTGAACTATAGGGTGAAACGCTTTACAGAACATTATCGAGTGTTCGGCAGTTTCCTCCTCCTCTCCGCATGCACTGCATACCGTCTACCCCTTCGTATTTGGCCCGATATGTCTTTGTTCGCAATACTCCTGTCCTGGCCTCAAACAGTAGAGAACTACCCCGAGTATTATCATAGGTCTTTTCCTTGGCAAATTCTTGCTTAAAAGTTCGATAGATCACCAGTGCGGACTTCTTAATCATGCCCATTCTCCACATGTCAGTCTGTGTTTCCTTCACCTTCTTCATAACCGATAGTTCTTTTTGACTTGGCCTTCTGCTGTTTTCTAAGTATTTACCCGTCAATTTTCTGGTTCGCTTCCTCCATTTTGTATCGACATTCTTCATGTACAAGTAGCTGAAAACCTTCCTAGCCCAACGCTCCTCCCCCATTTCTCTCAATCGCTTCTCAAATTTTATCTTGCTGCTAGCTTCCCTGCATTCAAATGTCCATCCCTCATCACCTTGTACTCCCTGATTTCGTGTATTCCCGTGAGCTCCTAAAGCAAGCCTACCTATTCCACGTTGCTTAATTTCTAATCTTGCTTGAGCTTCTGATTTCATGCACAAGACCGCATTGCCGAACGTCAGACCAGGAACCATAACCCCTTTCCATATTCCTCTAACAACAACATGCCTATTGTAATTCCACAGTGCCCTATTTTTCATCCCAACACAACACGCACGCCTCCTAGATTGTATGTCGATCAAGTACGTGACGCACTGGTAATTTAGGCATGATAAAGTACAATGAGCGAGAAATGTGCGAACTTGCTGGAAGACTCTGTTGAAAAAACTTCGCTTGAAAATCACTTTCTTCAAGTATTTCACGCGCTTACAAACTTGTGCCGTGTACAAACGTTACTTGCTCCACCTCCGCTAGGGCCTAGCCTCTGCGTGAGGAGAGGCTCCTGTTTTCGTTTTCGAGAGCAGCGAAGCTTTTGCCTAGCGGTTGGACATGGAACTAACAGGTAGGATGGTAGGATAGTTTTTGTGTGTCTGCTCTGTGGCTGCGCTTCGATATGGAACCGAAAACAGAAGCTTCGCCTTCGAAAAGGCTGAGAAGGTTCACCGGTCGCTACTGCTGCGTTGTCGGCTGCCACAACCTTGAACGCCGAGACAAGTCGGTAAAGTTCTATCGATTCCCGGGCAAGTGGTACCAGAGGGAGCAGCGGCGTGCCTGGACCGAAGCAGTCCGCCGAGTCAAGTAATGAATAGTGATTTGCATTGTCGATGATTCCGGTGCTCTAATACTCCGAGTTTGTGTCTCGAAGAGCCCTTTATGTGGCTAATCGTTCTGAATTCTCGTAGCGTTGTGCCCACGCGACTGCGCGAGGCATGTGCGTGATGGCCACACGACACGGAGCAAGAAACGACGTGCGTTATAATTGTTTGAATCCCAAAACCACGATATGATTGTGAGGGAAGGTATAACGTTCTTTGCCATCAAAACAAATCTATGCACACGCGCAGGCCTCTTGGCATTTTCGTCGATCTAAAAAAAAAAAAATGCTGCCGTCATGGCCGGGATTCGATACTGCAACCTGCAGGTTAGTATAGTCGAGCACTATATCCGCTGGAGAACTGTAGCGGGTAGCATAAGCGTGCGCAAGACACCTATTCGGTGGAAAGGAAGATGATGTTTCTCGCAGTACCCCCCTCTCCCTACTATCACGTCAGTTTACAGAGCTAGCTTTGCACCCCCCCCCCCCCCCCCGTGCGCACGCCTATCGTGGGTAGCAAGACACTTTGCATTGCTGAGGAGGGCACCTAGTGAACACCAATCCTGAATATTTTTCATCACTGTTCACTGTTTATAATCATGTACAGATGCACCCATGCCCAATGTGCATGTTTAAGGTATAGCCATTCATTACTCGTGAGGTATATTAAAACCCCGCCTCCCTCCAAAAAAAAAAAAAAATTAACTGATTTGCTGTAACAATACAAAATTACATGTTTCCTACCTACACATAGAAAACTTCGAGACGTCAGTGGGAGTCTTCTAAATATTGCAAGGCTACAGCAAAATACTCATGGTCTTCGATTGAGGTACCATCCAAAGATATGAAGATATGTAGTAGTTGTGGGACTGATTCCTTTCTCATGATCACTGTCATAGAGCACTGACTTGATCACGAGGAGTCAGTCAACTTGCAGTCAATAGATGGTAACAGCTGCAGCTCAGTTAATCACCTGAACATTTATAAAAATTGGTGGCATTTCCTCCTCAAAGGTGCATACACACAATCTTATGACCAAATGAGTGCGAACTACTGGTTAGCTTCTTAATCTGAACAGCTTGTGATTCTGCCTTCAGGGGGCGTTGCTTACTGTATGAGCTTGACCATCTCTTTAGTCACGCAGGTGATCAGCGACTGCTCTTAGTTCGTCTGGGTGAACCATCTCCCAAGTTTTCGAGTTGTATCAAACTATAGTTTACTCCACGGGTTCCCAAATTGGGTTTCGCGAAACTGAGGGGCTCTGCGAAGGGCATCTAAGTGCTTTGCAAGCAGTCGGCATGAATGTAACCTGCTCCCTGTTTTACCCCATTAGCATTTGATCGACTTCGATAATAAATGTTGTAAGGCATTTTGCAAAGGCATCGCACTGTATCCACATTGGGAGTCTGCAGATAGCGAGAGCTCCATGCACTGCAGCATCATTGTCTAGTGCACACCATAGCCTGCAATATTTGAGATAACAGGTTAATGCGGTGGTGTTAATATTGTAGGCGTCATATCACTTACCCTACTCCCCCATGTGCTTCCGATCGTCTTTGTGCTATAAAAAAAGTTAAGTGTTCCGCGGCACTCTGGAAAAGTTGTTGGGGTTCCCACCCAACAGACTGATCGACCAGACCGATGGAGAACCCCTTGTTTACACTAATGTAGACACAAATGCATCACTTTGAGACAAACATGTTTTCACCTGTTGAACACGCATGAATGGAAAGTCAAGTTGCTGCAGGTAGAGACCAAACCTACAACCTTTGTCTTACAAATGCCTCCTAAAAAAAAAAAAACTATGCTTAGACGTGAGTCATAAAAGCACTGCACAACCCTTTTCCTTATCCTCCTTTCCACTCAGTATAGTCACTAGAGCTTCTCACGGCGACTCCTTGCAACCTGCGCCGTCAGTAACTCGAGCAAACAACGCGACACGCATGGGTGGAAAATGAAGTTGATCAGACTAGATTGCAATGAAATTCGTCTTGAACGTGGTGGGCACGTGGCATCGTTAACCAGTTGAAAATGATGCTGCACATATAAACAGAACTCTAGATAAATAAAGACGTACGGCCAAAGCTATAACGCCTATTTTTGGGGAGCTTTTCTTGGCTTGATGTCATGCATTCATGCAAAGATTGATGTTTTATTGAACCGTGTGTTCATCGTGCGTAAAGATCCAGTTTTGCTGCATGCCCAAATGCTTGTCGAGCACCAGAAAAGGAGTTACATGCTTGACTTCCCTCAAGGTGCCTTCAAATGGCAGTTTGCGGGACCAGTGACTAGGCGATCATGAGAGATGACTCGGTGCCAACATGTAACCCTGTAGTGTGCAGTAAGGAGTTACTGACAAGAAGGCTGTTGCCAAGCTGCTTGAAAGGAAACTTCTGTTTCGAAATGTTCTCAAGTTTTAGCCGAACTTTCTGACAGAAAATGACTAGCATTCGTTAGACTGGCATTACTTCAGCACACGCCACGAACGTGCAATCAAACGTGTTCTCAAAGCAGCCAGCCGGGCTGCATGTCACCAGCACAATCACTCTTCCTGGCTCTGGCGTTACAGTTGCTAGCACCACCACACGACGCTCAGTCGAAATGTGCGGCAGCGTGCCTCTAATGGCAAAGCTAGCGACATGCCAGGCATAGCTTTTTTTGTTCCTATTTGTGACGTGTTGACTTTTTTGGACAATCTGTTTCATTAGGTTGCTTCTAACAAAAAATAGAGCCCCAGTAATGTTTACTTTGAGAGCAATGTAATACATGTGCTCATATTGAACTCCATTACAGATATTGTCTACATTTTGGGAAACACAAGCATGTGATGGCTTCTTTTACAGTCAGATTTCAGTTTTAGAGGCTGACCAGTAAAGAGAATCAATCACACAAGCAAGGGAAGGTTAGCATGCTAGGAGAACACAATGTTGGGTGGGTAGATGATATTAGCTGAGGCAAGCACAGGACCAGGTTAACTGGAGAAACGTGGGAGAGGCTTCTGCCCTGCAGGGGGCATAGTCAGGCCGATGATGATGGTTGAAGGATACCGGCACAATTGAGCTTTACCAGATGTTTATCTACAAAATAAAACAATGCTTTTGTGGGCTGATGCAAGTATCAGACGATGATGCACACTGAAGAATTACATAGGACAGCCTTTCAAGTTTTTCTTCTGGCAGCACCGGGAGTGCCTCATCTAACCCAAGCAACATGGGAACACTGTTTCATATAGGAGTACCTTAGCGTTTACTAACATCTATTGCGTTCACAATGTGTTCCAACTTCAGCACTCCGTCCTTCTCTTCTGTATGCTTACCAAGGATGCTTTGAACAGTTGCTTTTGTTGCGTTCATAAAAAGCCAAAGAGGATATCCAACAAACATTTTAAACATCGTTTGTGATGGTGAACTCAACCATCATGTGGAGTGTCGCAGATTGACCCTCTGAGGGAACCAGGCTGATTTGTTCCGTTTACTTTAGTAGTCTTTAGTGTTTGCTCTTACATTCGTGGCATCTATCTTCGGGGTGCAGAGGTGTTCGCTGCCAACCTGAATGACGCGCGTTCGATTCTCACGGTCAAGTCAAGGATAGTCAAGGCCACGTGGCAGAGCCCCACGTACTGTGTGATTTCAGTGTGCGTTGGAGAACTCCGGGCGGTTGAAAATCTGTTTAATTTTTGCTAGTTAACTTGGTAGAACTTAATTGTTGTGCAACGATCACCAGAGGCCACTTCTTTCAAAATCTTTTCTTTTTTTTCAAGTGGGAATGGGCTCTTCACAAGAAGAACTTAGATTCCAGCATTTGACCCAACTACATGTCTCCGCTAATTAGAAAGATAATTTCACTTCTTTACTTATACTGCCATAATCTTTGTCTCTAGTCATCTTAACGTGGCTGTCACAACAGGAGAAATTATTACAAAGGCAACGAGCAGATATTTTATTAATGTGGCTGTCACAACAGGAAAAATTACTATAAAGACAGCGAGCAAATATTTTATTTTTGTTATTTTCAGGATATGCAGACACATTTCTAGAAACATCGGGTGTTTTAGTGCTTTGCTGAGACCTCTTATGATAGTTTAATAAGATTAAAGTACTTTTTTTTTACCTAGTACCAACATAAAAGGCATCAACATGTTGATACACGCACAATTCATACAGACAGCATAACCGTGTACGTCTCATGCCTTGTATTTGCTACCAACAATCGTTCGTATTAAATTATTGATTATGCTGATGCTACAACTTTCTCTGAGCACCACCGAAGCATCACCAAGGTCTACCATAAGAGAGTGAGAAATAAGGAAAGGATGTGTAATCTCTGCTTTTGAGGCCTCTTTATTAGTTGCTTTTAATGCATTTCAAAGCTCAAAGGGCTCGGCAACATTTTTTGAATGAAGCCAGAAAGTACTGCTGATCGGTGTCTGAGGCTTTTGTCAACATGCGAGTCGAGTCAACATTACAGCACAGCATGCGTCAAGCAATTTACGATTGAGTCTCTTGGTAAGCTACAAATCGCCCGCTCTTCTCTTGACAAATCATGCCATGAACTGCAATACGACTGAGTCATAATCTCACATTCACGGTTATTGGCCAATTTAAACATCATAAGTGGCATAGCTGCCACGACCTGCCAGGGTCTTGTAGTTACGGTGCTCGATTGCCGGCGCGCAGGTTGCGGGTTCGAATCCCTGTTGGCTGCATTTCTGATAGAGGTGAAAATGCTTGAGGCCCGCCATTGAGAGGAATGTTATAAAAAAAAAAAAAAACCAAGTGGTCGAAATTTCCGGAGCCCTCCACTAGAGTATCCCTGATAATCACATCGTTGTTTTGGAATGTGAAACCCCACCAAACTAATAACTGTCGCAGGTTGCTACCATGTCTCCAGTCTGTGCTCTATGGTGTTAGGGTAATAGACAATGTGGAACTCCACCTGCATGCTCGTGATTATACGGAAAGTGAGCTGCACGTTCAAAGAAAAATAAACCGCCTGGCCTGCGCAGAACGCCCAGCACAGTCACAGTGAAAGCTGGAAGAGGAGCCTTTAGAACCTTTCTTAAACACTCTTTGGGTAACTGCTACAAGCGCACTTGCAGGGTACACACAACGTGATTAATCAAAATTTTTTGTAGTAGGAAGGCATGCACTATGCCATTTCTCGTCATTCTTCGGAAGTATGGTACCTGCTGCACACTTGCAAAGAATTTTGTGCAGCTTTTTTTTTTTTTATGCTACAGCTGACGACCATGAAGAATTATGCCTGGAGCTTTTTCTAATAAGTTGGAGCATTCGATGACCCACTCGTTACGTTATTTGCGTTGTGTGATGCCTAGTTGTTCCTTTGCTGTTCTGAAAAAGCTATTGCGGATATTAGTGCGATTCGTTTCCTGAAATTAAGCCTGCTTAAGTTTGGCTTGCGACAAAGTGTCAAGCACCGCTGTGTCTCTGTGGTAGAATACTGGGCTGGCACGCAGGGGACCCGGGTTCAAATCCCATTCTGTTCTTGGTGTTTTGTATTTGCTTAGTTATTGTATTTGTTTGTATTTGTGTTTTGTATTTGCTTAGTTACGATAGTGGTTATGAACACAGGTGACGGTGGACAACTATGGCACACACAATCCTTGTTGTGATCGCACAACAGCTTTCGCTGCAGAAAAGAGAAAAGGTGTTCAAGGTTATGATGCATGCTGCACGGATATAGCTTCCTGCTTTCTTGTGTACCTCTTAGAATGCTTGTTTGGACGAAAGGAGAGAGAAAGTGCTCAAAGTGACATCGAGGAGAAAAATGATTTTTTCATGTATTAGTAAAGTGTGCTTTCACAGACTTCGAGAACACCACCATTAGCGCGAGACGCTTGGTAAACAAGAAAACGCGTGAAAAGGAAATACGGGTGGGGGACGCTACCTTGAGAATCTTGACGGTGTTTACTGGTTACTACCTCGTTTCTAAATAGTAAAAATGAAGTACACATTGTCATCTGTGAGTGCCATAGACTTGGTATACGAACTTTCAGATAATTTGATTGAGTTCATGTCGTAAAAATATGAAAAATATACATTTTGAAATTTGTGACATCATGAACGTAAACTTCAGTGCGAACTTTAAAAAGGAAACTTGAGCCTTGATTTTTTTACCGCTATAAAGAGCTTATCATTGTGAAACTTGTGACATTAGGGTTCTCAGAGTTTATTTCATCTGTCTAAACTGAGTAATTGTTTCACTTTAGGGTCCTTTTAAAGCATGCAACATATTCGTGTAATTCCACCTGTACCTCGATTCGGTATATTTTTTTGTGTGTGTGCCAATTGATTTATAAGGCAATGAAGTTCAATACTCAGGTGATTCAGTAATTACTCTGACAAGTATTGCAGTGCCCCTTAAACTTATGGAGCGGCACAACATTCAACTTAGTTCTTTTTTTTTCTATCTCTTTTCTTTTAACAGTAGCTGTATCTTGTAGCCTTTGTGAATTTCTTAAAACACCCGGATATTGCTTGTTTTGAGTTCTTTCGGATGCAGCTGCTTAAAACAGCAAAAAAAGTTTTCCTCTACAAAATGAACGTTAGAAATCATTTTTCTGCCGAATAGCTGACAGCATCTGTTATTTAGTTTTTTCTGCTCTGTCTGTTTAGCCCTGATGGCACTCCGTGGGAGCCGAGAGATAACACAAGGATTTGCAGTGATCACTTCGTTGGCAAGAAGAAGAGCAACGCAGTTGATCACCCAGCTTACATCCCAACCATCTTCCCGCCTGTGTATGACAGGAATGTACGCGACCCAGAAAAGACTCACAGGTGAGAACAGCTGAGCAAAGAAGTTGCAATGTTTTTAGTAGTGACAGTACATTAAAACCTCATTATAACAAAGTCACATCTGCAACAAAAATAACTTCGTTTTATCCAAAAAGGTGTTTTAAACATTTATCATTAAAGCTGTATTTATGACAAGGCTATTCTTTCTTTAGTTCATTTTAACCAATAATTCGTTATATCCATGTTCAATATCAAGGGTTGAGTGTAATACCGCTTTGGTCATACTACAGTTTTGCCATTCCACGTTAAATGCACGACAACCTGAAGATGTTTCATCTGCGCGAGTGGCTCAGTGCGTACGGTATCAGGTTGAGTTGATTACCGTGGCTAATACTGGATCATAGGATTAAAATATTTATGTGCCAATGACAGCTGTATGGCATATCTGTATTTGCTGTAAGGTAAAGTGGCACCGTTGAAAGATTCTGCTTTTGAAGTAATTTGAAGAGAAAACACAGTTTTTAGTTATATTTAATTACAAGGAACATGTACGAAATACTTAAGCGAATAGCTGATGTGGGTAGTAGCTGTTCCAATATAATAAGTACAGCTGTCAGCACCATTAACACGAACCGTCCGACGCGTGGTCTCTCTTCGTTTCGACTGACGTCAGCACCACCAAGCGTAGGACATGATATGTTTGTTTTAACCAACAATGAATGAAATGCGTGTCGATTTCGCTATTCAATTTCTGTTTCACTTCTGCCTGACCGGCAGGTCGAATGCATTCACTTGGCAAGTCCCTTGGCAGAATGCATTCACTTGGCAGCGGAAGCTGCGCTTTCATATTCGAAAGGTGAGGGAGATATCGCACACTATTGTTCATTGCCGAAATAAGCAAGTTGCAATGAATTTGATGGATGCGCACGAGAGTGTAGTCGCGTCAAAAACGTGGCGAAAACGAACTCGCCAACTTAACGCATTCAACCTGCCGGTCAACAACCATATCGAGCCCCACGCTTGGTGGTACTCATGTCAGACAAAACGAGGAGAGGCCACGCATTGGACGGTTCCTGGTAATGGTGCTGACGTACATAAAAGTTAGCAACACACATGATTGGTTGTGATAGATTTTATACATACATATGCAAGTTTTAATGATTTACAAGTCTTCAAAGAAAAGGGTTGACTGTGTTTGCGCTTGGGGGCCTTGATCTGTTTACAGTGCGAGGCATAGTTAACTGCATCACATTCTGGTCAGTTTGAATGACACATCGAAACTTAGTGCTGAAAAACGGGATGATTTGGGTCACTGAAACCTGGTGTGGTCAGCCTTTTGGTATGGGACAATCCTGACACATGCACGTGGACTGACCATGTCACCAGAAGTTTTACTCATCCATGAGTCAACTGGGTGTCAGGGGAGGGCGAGTTTCCTTGCATTTGCTCGACCAGAGCAGAAAAAAAAAAAAAAAAAATGGCCACTTGTAACGCTGTCACCGTGTGAGCTTCGATGACTCTACTGGGTCATTTTGTTTCGCACCAGGTTGACTAGCTGTTTGCAACTTCTGGCATTGTGACATCACAAACTAAGAAGCTTATCATTATATTACACTGGAAAACTGGTGCAAGCCTACGAAAGTGTACAAAAGTACGGGCGAGTCACCAGGCACGTTGATGTGCTGCTCCCCAACAATGAGACAATTAATCTCGTGTCAATGCATGATTGTCCAGGCAAGTGTGTCGATATGCTCAACCTCAGTAATTATGTAGTCCATATGGTTACCTCCAGCAACTTTATAAGGATACTCAGTCTTTATTAGCCTACACACCACGTCATACCTGCCAAGTCTCCCGGATTGGCCGGGAGACTCCCGCATTTTGACCGTTTTTTCTGGTTGTCATAGAAATCTCTCGGGAATCGAAATTTCCGTGCCTGATCTGGCCGCATTGACAAAAAAAGCAGCTAAATCCACTCCAGGCTTTTCGAACCTACCCCATTTCATCATAAATGAGTTTAAGAGGCACTGATGTAAACGTACAGTATAATCTCAGTGATGCGAAACCGCGGCAGATAAGAATTCTTAAATTCACCAGCCAGATTTTACTATGTTCATCGGGCCTCAATTTGAATGTTACGAACACATTTTCTAATCACGGCGGATGATACGAACATTAGTATGGAAACCGTCGAAAGAAGGCCGAGAGCAGCGTACTCGAAGCTTCAGATGTACGCGTTTGACTGGCGCACTACAGTGCGTGTGATTGTCGTTGCCACAACTGCTGAGGACGAAACCGCGGTTGCTCTTGACATGATCATGTATGGTGACGACGTAACTGAGAATACGCCGAAAGTGTGCGCTCAACCAGTCAAAGCAACGCTGCTATGCGCAAACTCTGCGGACAAACCTGCGGCAGATGCTGTCGTAGATGACATGAAACGACTTAGTCTTCAAGGTGCGTGCGCAGCCAAGCGCATGGGGATTGTAAAATGAACTACCGTTTGCCGCAACTGCCGCGCACAAAACCGCGGTCGCGGCGATGCGATCTGCGAGCTCCGAGGACACGCAGCGGTATGTTAAAGGCAGTAAGTACGTAAAAAATGGCAGCATATCGACAGGGTGAATGATGAGTGGGGCGAAGCATCCATCTATTCATTCGTTCTTGCTTCTGTTCGTCCATGCATCCGCCCCTGCGTCCGTCCATCCATCCACCCGTTCGTGCGTGTGTCTGTCCCTGCGTCAGTTCATGCGTCCGTCCATGCATCTGTCTGTGTGTCCGTTCGTCCATCTAGTCAACACTCCAAGTACCACCATCTTGTATCTTTTCATCATATATTCCTCATATAGAAGCACCGCCATCCAGCGCACATTCCAAGGACTAAACGAGAGGTGGCACATGCACACTTTCTCATGGCTTGCGCTTCGTGTCTACTTCCCACCTTTAGCCACCTCGAGTTCATGGTACATACTAGTTCACTGTATTCATCCATCCGTCCATTCGTTTTTGCTTCCGTCCGTCCATCAGTACATCTGTGTGACCGTCCGTGCGTGCGCCTGTTCGTGCATCTGCAAGTCCATCCGTGCGTCTATCCCTGCGCTCGTCCATGCAATCGCCCCTGCATGCGTCTGTGCAGCCATCCATGCGTTCGTCCATGTATCTGTCCGTGTGTCCGTTCATCCATCTAGTCAACACTCCAAGTACCACCATCTCACATCTTTTTATCATATATTCCGCATATAGAAGCACCGCCATCCAGCGCACATTCCAAGGACTAAACGAGAGGTGGCACATGCGCACTTTTTTACGGCTTGCGCTTCATGTCTACTTCCCACCTTTAACTACCTCGAATTCATGCTATATACTAGTTCACTGCATTCATGGCACTGCGGCCCAACGCTCGCTAAACCTTTCTAAAACCAAGGAGGTTATGCCCAGGGAGTATAACGTAGCAACCCTTTCTTGTCAGATAGTGCTCAATGTACATGCCAATGGCTGCTAATGGGGAATGAGAGACAGGAGAATTCGGCTTTTAGTTAAAGCACACGCTGCGAATTTTTTATTGTTCAACAATGCATAGGGGAAATCTCCCACCGGCAGGACCTTGCAGGTCAAAGCGTAAGACATGTTACGCACTACTGCGAGGGACGAACGGGTGCCACTTTAAGGAGCTTCGTTCCTAAAAATAAAAGTTGCAGTTTCGCTGCAAGGGCGAAGCAAAAATGTGACAGCAACAACTTGGAATGTAACGCTGAGAACCGCAAGCAGATCGGAACATGCAGCGCGCTCCTCACACACAAATGATGCACGAAAATTATAATCGCTGCATGAAAGCAAACTAACAGCGTTTACCGCTCGACACGTAATGCGCTGTTTAAACAAGAACGATGCACGATACGTAATCGCTGGTGCAGATGAGTACAAACTTACAAGTGTCCCATTTGTTATACATTGCTGTGTATGAAAAGCGCGCTATTTTCGCAAAAGGGGCCTGTGCAGAGACCAAAGTGACCTTTGTGGGCCCGGCAACTAACGCTTTTGTTTCAGTGAAAGCCGAAGGCACACGATTCCCCCACCAAAAGATAAGTGCACGCGCACAGGCATCCATCCATGGGGCAAGATACACGTTAGAGATAAGCATGCATCAGGTGGCTTTTTATTTTTGAGTGTTCATATATATGGATACATATACATATAAGGTTAAGGAGGGCGACCTTGGCGATGGCAAAAAACAGCCTGGACGGACCATATAATTGCTATCGCAATAAAAAGGGGCCAGACGCGTTTTGGAGTTCCTGTCAAAATAATCTAGCAATAAGCAAAGCTTTGACCCGCGCTTGTGCGACAGCCAGCTGGGCTGTCCCGTCCGTTCACCTGTGTCCCAGGAAGACACACGCGAGTTGTTTTGACTGAAATTGATTCTGCTAGTTGTGTTGATCATTTGAGACTCTCATCTTAGTGAAAAACTCTACCCTCTTGTGTTCGGCCACTCCTAGCCACTATAAGACCTCAACTCTGATGTTGGCGTTTGCGATTCAGGCCTCCCTTTCACCTCCTTTTATTTTTTGCGATGTTGTTTGTTTGTTCTCAAATTTTAATTCCTCCCACCCCATATTGTTGCGGAAATCTCCCGGATTCAGAATCCTTGAACTTGGCAGGTATGCCATGCGTGTTTTTCTTTTCCATGTTTAAATATGCCCTTGTGTTACACAGTTATGTGCAGCCAGATTGATTTAGTGTAAACAAGTGTCTGTTTTATAAGTACTCCATGCTGCTCGTTTGTTTGTGCAGGTTGGATTTTAGTCCCAATAAACAGCATCATTCTCTAGGCTGCTACGAAGAAACAGCAATCGGACATAGGCCGTGTGGTCATGGCAATGGGTGCAGCAAAAATAAATGCATCTACCGCAATTTATTTACCATGGCATGCAAGTCTCGAAATGATACTGAAGACCCACCACTAATAAACTCTCTTGGTCGGCGATCTCTTCAGATTGCGTGGGAGGTTCCTCCCGTGGCATTGGTTGAATCTGTAAGTATGGCAGTTATTGTTTGTAATGCATAAGCATTTAGGTTTACTTTTCATATAAAACTGCGCATGCTCCATTCGTTCATAACAAAATAGCAACTTGATCAATCCAGCTGGTTATGTAAGACACGAATGCAAGACTTGGCATGACTTGAATGGAGGTCCTGTGAACTTTTTTTTTTTTTTCTGTGAGCTATACAGTCACAGCAGCAAGTAGTATATTATATAGCTGGCACGAAACAAAAGCAGGACAGTACTGGTGTCACAACAAGCAACCATGACCAGAGCAATTTAATAAAATTGGCATACAATTAAAGCAACGAAAGCACAGGGGCAGTATTTATGGTTCCTTAATCGTACTGCAATGATTTTCATTTAAGTAAGCCCGCGCAACAGATCTGCAAAAATCTTTTTAAATGGCAATGTCAGCAACAAGTGCTGCACTTTCACTATCGAATCGCAAATCCTAATTTTTGCCTTAAATGTTATTCCTTTCACGACAAAGGATAAGTTTACAGAGGTGTCTTCAACACCAGAATGTACAAGATTGGCTTTGATGTGTTCTCAGATGTGACAAAAACTTGAGTGTATGGAAATATGGAATGAAAGCGTGTGCTCTTCTACACAAGCAGCAATACTAGTAAGTCATGAACATGTGACAAAGCTCCTTATTTATACTTGTTAAGCTTTGTCAGTGTATTGTCTTAATTCGATAGCATTAAAGAGCTTGTTTCTCAGAAAGTTCGGCGACGGTGTTGGTGATGGCGTCATTGCTTGTGAGTGAAAAATGATCATCTTGTCCATGATCGAAAAATTGAGAAAGATGGAAATAAAATAAACAATAAAAATTTCTGGGTCGGAGTGAGCATCGAATCTGATCTAAGATATTGTTTGGCAAGCATGTGTCCTGCCACACAGCCATGTGTTTGCTTGGAAATACAGTGAAAATGACTTCCTCTGCTCTTGGAACTGCAGTAAAGCCAACACTCATATACTTTACAAACACACATGTCTTGTACACAAGCTTCACAATACAACGTGTAACATCGCAGCAAAATTGCATCGTACAAGCATACAATTCCATTGGGCATTCAAAACATGCGATTATGATAACGACTTTGTGGTTTAAAGCTAGCAAACCATCACAAAAGGTGCACACGTTCCTGTGCAACTCTTTTTGAGCATGGTCAGAAAACACTGCCGATCAATAGTCGAGGTTATTGGAAACACGCATGCCAAATAACATAGCGCATCATGCAGCCTGAAATTCAGAATAAATTCTCAAAGTCGACTAAAAGTTGTTTTCTCTTCCCTGAACAAATGACGAGACAAGCTCGAAAATAACTCGAAACAGGCACTGTATCAGCCACTGACTGATTGAAATATGGCACGCTTTGTCATTGCAGAGTCCGCCGCAGGAGGCCTCGACTTGTTCACGTGTGTGCCTGCGATCGCAGTGAAAAGGCGCATATTCGAAAAAAAAGAGAGAGAGAGAGACAAAAGTGCTCAATGTTACGAGGCACATGTGACGTATTTTCTTTCCCCGTGCCACCTCTACTTGCTTAGCTTCCAGCGCTTTCGTCAAAGTGAGAGGAGAGAGAATGCGATTGCAGCGTGCGACAAACCTTCGTGACTGGGCTCATACTGGACGAATTCTAAGAATATTTGTGGCAGTCAATTTTCAGGGCAATAACCTCCTTTAGTGCATTCATTATTTGGCTATTTGGAAAAGTGATGCAGGCCCATTTAAGGTGAAGCTCAAGGGACCCTCAGTTTTTGCTTTGCTTTGCATGTATATACTGGAACCGAGTTGAAACTTCACCTTTTGCTTCTTGTGTCCCGCAGTGCAACGTAAGAAACAAAAGTTATGACATGGTGCAAGCCTTACTTCGGTCCCCTTAGAGAGAGATACTGAAGAAAATTTTATCGCCGAGATTTTCAGGCAAATTAAAAAATTGGGTCCTGAAATCAATGGACACAATCTTCTCTCTAGGCAGAAACTATCGAAAAATAATGAATTTATTGCGTTTTTCACAAACTGCCGCCTCTAGCAGCCGCGCCGGGAACCGGAGGAGGTGGCATTTGACGGTGTCACAAACGCCTGAAACAAGCAAACAATGCCAACCATCGCCCGAGTCTCTTGGCTTGCTTATCTTGCCATACGGTTTAGAACCGGTATTAACGGCACCAGTAGCAAACGATGCTAAAGCATCAGCGCTTTTGTGGAAGGGGTAGAGTGGGATCAAAGAAAGGGTGAAGAAAAGGAAAAGGACGACTTGCGCTCACATGCAGCCATCGCGTGCAACAATCTATGAGAAATGCAGCGGACTGTTCAAAATTATGGAAAATGAACTCTGTTTATCAGAACAGTCGCGACTTCAGAGAACACTTTCGGAGTTACATCACTTTTTCCAATTTTTGTTCAGTATCCCTTTGACATAAGATGTCCACATAACTTCGAGAGATTAAAGTAGCATCAAGGCTTTTCCGCTAGGCTGCTTCACATACAAGTTCACCGTGACTCCTAAATACAAGCTTACTCAAATCGCTAGAACGATGTCTAACTCTCTGACTGTAATTCACGGTCTTTTCATTTCCACCATTACCAAAACACACGTTCTGGCCAGGTGTCAATCTCTAACTTAGTATTGCAAAAGATGCTGTAGCTCATTTGTTCTTTATATTGCTGCTGTGTTGTCGAATGAGCATGACCACAACTTTGATGTCAAAATGGATTCACTGTTTATTCAGATTCATGCATCATAACCGCTGCTTGCGTTTTTTTCTCAGGTTATTGGTGTTTGAAAACTGATAAAAATATTCAAAGAGAGCTGTGGGAAGCAAGCACAGACTGTTTCTTACGCGCTCTTCTCACACGATACGCAGACGAGCAATTCGCTTCTTTCACTTAAATATGCAGGCCTGCCAGACTTACTCTTCTTCTGAAGGCATGCTCACAATCCTGCTTTCAGCGACAGATGGCACCCAAGCATCAACACAAGTCTGTCACACTGTACAGAGCGATGAGGTCAGTCCTAAAGACTTTTTTTTTTCTTTGTTTTTCTTGTGCTCTTGTGCACAAATGTTTGAATGCCACAGGCACCTGTGCTGCCTTATGTGCATTTGTAACACAGGTTCAAGAGAATAGGAGAAAGGGTTGAGGTTCGGGTGGTTTTTTTGACCCATGAAAAGCTTTCTAGCTCTAGCCTGTTCATATTGACCTCTCGGATGAACAAAAGAAAAGAAGCTGCAGTACAGGCTATATGCTAAAGTTTTTGCCATTCGTGAAAAGCGATAAAGCTATGCCTTTGACATGCGGTAGGAGGTATGTGGGCCAGACAGGAGGCTGTCTGAATGATAGGCTCTGTGAACACTGCTACAGTGTCCAAACTAGGGTATCGGGGCACCTTGGCATCCACGTGCCAAGATTGCCAGTGTAGCTCTGTCTTTGAAGGCACTGTGGTCCTTGTGCACATCCCTGGGTCAAAGGGTGATGGAGATTATTGAGGCTGAGGAAATCGCAGTCTGGCGATGCATGAAAAGGCATGCCATCGCTGCACCTTTCCAGCAAAGTACTTTCGTTTCTGGTGCGATGTACGGACGGGGCGGTTCCACGGCGCGAAGCTGACGTGTTAATCTTTTTCAAGTGGGCACATTCTTGGCTTTATCTACTTTTTTCTTTTCTCTCCCGTTTTTTTTTCTTTCTTTTCTTTGGTCCTTTAGTTTGCATATATATTTGTTCTTTCACAATAAATCTTAGTCAAACCATTATGACTGACTTGTTCCAACTTGCCCAACAAACAACATCGTTGAAATGAGAAAGGGTTCACTTTTCCAGTAATTTATGACCATCCGCACAAAGAGTTACGAGATAAATCTCCTTCAGTGGCAGTGGCCACGTTTGTGTGTGTAACTCATTTGCGCTATTGGCCGCGAGATCGAGTAGAGTCGCCGCCTGGCGACAACTGGCTGAAAAGGTGAAGTGTGGATTGCTCCGTACATCGTCTGCTAGCCACGTCGTGTTTCTATGTGTGTGTACATCATGCACATTCTCAAAGTGTGGTTTGCCCGGTCATGTAAGTGCGAGTGTAACTGTTTCTTCATATGCCTAAAATGACGTACGAAAGCATTTGGTCTTGCTCGGCTGCTAATGCATTGTGATAAGATCGGCGAGTGCAACTTTCCAGAGTGCTGTTTATTGTCATCATACCCTTCATTCACCAAAAATATTTCAGAATGGGTGCCGCTTTTTGTTTCAAGCACATCACAAAATGCTCTTGGCATCCTCCCACATATGAGTACTATTAAATAGTGTGTGAATGCAGCGTTTTGTAAAAAAAAAAGGGGGGGGGGGGCTCTAGGCCACGCACTTGTGCGCTGTTAGTACGTGTACAACTACCGCACTGTAGTTTATCGATAATGCAAAAAGCCTTAGTTGCGTTTATCTGGCTGTGGTACCACTACATAGAAATATTACTATGACATAAAATGTGACACATCGGTACTTAAACTGTACTTAAAACAGAGTTACTGTTGTGCAACCATGTGCTTAAATAAAAAAAAAATGCTTTAGAGAGCCCAGACATTGATAATTAATTCAGACAGCACGCCTTATATATAATGTCGTATAACTTCACTGAAAATTTAATCTTTTTTACATTGTCTTCAGCATTTGCGTTGCATTGTTAGTGACCGACAGGAAACAGTGGTAACTTTTTGTCTGAAAAAAAAAAAAAAAAAAAGACTCTCCCATTACCTAGACCTTCGTAGTAGCACTTTCATGCACGTAATCCATCGATGAACGCTTTCTGCTGAACTCTTATAACATCTTCATATTTTTACTGGTGCACGAATATGTGCGTGCACGTGGTAAACACAGTGTAGCGCAAAGCGCTGTCAGCTACTAAGCTTTTCTGGCAAGACTTATCTACTGCCCCACATTTTATGGTGAACTGAATGAGTGAACAAAAAAAGAATCATATGTGTATAAGCTGCGAATGGTGGTACTGAACGAATCGCACAGATATGCAGGCTTTCTGCAATCTTTCTTTGCTCTTTTTTTTTCTAATATGCATATGACAAAATGTAAATAAGTAGTTCAGTCACGCTACAGCAGTGTGTAACAGTGGAACACAAGCCAACTACGTGCACACAACTCAGCAAAGGCGTGATTTAGTGCGATAGCGCAAAGAGAGTCACCCAGGGTGATCGCTATGAAAGGCATAATGCTCTTTACTCGCGGGTAATGCTAACATTGCATAGGCGCCATGCACCGATTCAGAAGAGCATAGATATTAACAGTAAACTGTAGTCAACGTATTTTATCCACCGACAACCGGCTCAGACCACACGTAATGAAGCGCCGCTGCGTGTATTTGTATACACGCCGCCGACCGCCTATCCACACTTGCACGGGGACAGTACTGCCACCTATAGCCCGATCTCGCCACGAATAGTTGTGTCAAATTGTAGCTAAGTGGATCAACTGAAACTTCTCTACGGTCAATGTTTCTTGAGTTACCTCAATGTGCTGGATACTACCTTAGATAATAGAGAATTTTAGTTTAGTATACACAAGGCTGTACATCCGCAAGATGCCATACGCTACATACACCACGTCTGAGGCTGCTTTCTACATTAGCTTACAGTGCACAGCATTCGAAATGTATACTGCACCTAAGTGTCGACAGGCTTGCCTTTGATTGTTGCTTCACACCATATAGTGTGAAGCAAAGCAACTAGCAATAATAACTGAAATTGGTCAATGCGACACTTAGTCAAGGCAAGAGACAAGCCAGAGCTTTCACAACGACGAGCTGTGGTTTTGGTTTGATGTCTTTGGGCTAGATGAACTTCGATTTTTGTTTAGGCAGTGCAGGCCGAAGCAGCACGAAAGACACCTAGACAACGAAGACGAGGGCTTGCTGCCAACTTAGTGTTTATTGTTATCAACAGATATTTTGCAAAAAGAGAAAATGAAAGAGAGAAAGAACCGATCAAGGATCATCAGCAGCACGAGCAGCAGCCTGAGCATGCCCACTGCAGGACAAAGGCCTCTCCTATGTTCGGCCAATCAACTCAGTCCTGTGCTTTCTGCTGCCACTCAATACTTGCACACTTCCTAACCTCATCTGCCCACCTAACTTTCTGTCTTCTTCTCACCCACTTATTTTATATGAAAATTTAGTCAGTTACCCTTAATGACCAGTTGTTGTCCTGCCTATGCGCTATCAGCCTGACTCATGTCCATTTCTTCTTCTTGGTTTCAACTATGATACCCACTCTACTCTCTTCTTGCCTCTTAAGGTGACACCTAACATTTTCCAATGTATTGCTCGCTGTGTCGTGCTCAATTTAGGCTGAACCCTCCTTGTAATTGTCCCAGTTTCTACTCTGTAGGTAAGTGCCGGTAACATGCAGCTGTCATATACCTTCCTCTTGAGAAATATTGGCAGATTGCTATTCATGATTTGACGATGCTTGCCGTATGTGATCCACCTCATCCTTGTTCTAGTCATTTCACTCTCAGCTCCGCGGTTACTACCTGTCCTTAAAAGACATATTCCTTTACAACTTCCAGCATCTCCCCACCTACCGCAAAATACTGTTTTCTGCCGAGACTGTTGCAGATTACTTTAGCTTTGTGCATATAAATTTTCAGACGTACTCTTCTGCTTTCCATGTCCAGTTCAGCAATCATGAATTGAAATTTGTCGCCTGAGTTTCTCAGCTATGCGATGTCATCAGCGAAGCGCAGGTTACTAAGGTACTCTTCATTAACTCTTATGTCTAACTCTTCACATTCTACTCCTCTGAAAATGTCCTGTAAAAACGCGGTAAATATTATTGGGGAGATGATGTCTCCCTGCCTTACACCCTTCTTTATTGGTATCCTGTCGCTTTATTTATGGAGCACTATGGTGGCGGTTGATCCTCTGCAGATTTCTTCCAGTATGTTTATGTAGGGTTCGTCGACTCCCTGATTCTGCTGCGTTTGCGTGACTGCTGATATGTGTACTGAATCAAATGCCTTCTTGTAATCTATGAAGGCTATGTATAGTTGTTGGGTGGCTAGACGATAAATACAAGAATACCCCTGCTGCTGTCACCAGTGTTTGTAAGAACTATTCCTTTACCTTTGAACACTTCCCATGTTTTTGCAAGAGATCGTTCATACATTTGCCGGTCTGACACGCGTAGCAACCATCACAGCTCAGAGGTATTGTACACATGACAGCCCGCGCACCAACCCCAAATACGTCGCCTTGCTTCATTCCAACATTGAGTGTCCAGTCTTTCTGTGTTGCAGTCGAGCTTAGCAGCGATTACAACTAACTTTACCTGTTTACCGACTGGCTTCAGTCTACTCCAAATCAAAGGCAACCCCTAAATTCACGGGAGCTATGTTTGCTGCCACCACTACTGCACTGCTGGCGCTTGTGGCCATCTTGTCTGTATCGCTCCCGGCAGATCGAGATCTCGCGAGATAGCTGCTGGTAAGGTGCGCAACGGCTGTGACGTGTGCATCTCTTGCGTGCGCTAACACACGCATCTCGCCTAGATGCAGCGCATGCGCAGTCTTCTTCCTCTCACTCGTTGTATGCGCAAAGCAGTTGCATGCACTAAACTAACATTCTCTAATCACGATAAAAGGAAAAATCAGCGCAAACTAGAAGAGACGAAATACAAGGAAAGAACAGACAGGGACAGGCGCTGACTCAAAAGTAACTGTTTATTGCTTGAATGCAATATAAAGGAAACGGTGTAAGGGCTAAGAAGTCACGTGAAATTTCGAGCCACTTCGTACCGTGACAAATAGCTTGAAAGTTCACGTGACTAGTTAATCCCCTGCGCCTTTTCCTTTATATTGCATTTAAGCAATAGAGAGTCACTTGTCAGTGAGCCCTCGTCCTGTCTGTTATTTCTTTATATTTTGTCTCTTTTAGTTCGCGCTGTTTTTAGCTTTTACCATGATAGACACACTAGACCAACGAAGCACACTACTGGGATTCTCTGATCACTTTGGCAAAGGCACTACAATGCTCGACGGCTCATTCAGCGTGCAGTGTTCCAGAACCCACGTCAAGAGTACTAATTTTCTTTTTTTGAAATGCAACCATAAAATGATTGCGCTCATGTTTGGAGCCTATGATATCATTCTCTCTATAATAAAATGAAAGATGCCTGACTGCTGAATAATTGTTTCATTTGTGCTAATTACAATTAGTGATAGAAACTAATGCAAAACAACAAATTGCTTCATTTTCCATCTTGGAATGTAATATTGCGTGCCTTGAATATAAGCTATGTAAATTGGATACATCTGTAAAGAGTGCATCATAATTCACGCCTGAAGGGGGTATGTGTGGCATCTCCATGCCAGTGCTGGCTGGAAATCAATACAAGGCTGCATTTCGGAGCCAGAGGCACCTTCGGCTGTTGCACATTTCGAAGTTTCCAAGCACTTGCAATTTTGCGTATTTTATGAAGCACTGCTAAGGGTATGCGAGAACTGAATCAAGTGTAAGCTGCACTTCAGTATTTTTAATAAAGAGTAGCTGACATGAAGTGGTACATTTCGAAGTTTCCAAGCACTTGCAATTTCGCGTATTTTATGAAGCACTGCTAAGGGTATGCGAGAACTGAATCAAGTGTAAGCTGCACTTCAGTATTTTTAATAAAGAGTAGCTGACATGAAGTGGTACATCAGTATGCACTGGTAAGAAACTAGTAGGTATTTAGGTACATTTTGAGTATTTTTGCTCAAAAATTTGTCTAGTCAGCAGGGAAGCTTTGATAATGTGCTTCCTTTAAAAATGGTCCACTTTGCTCATGATGATCATTGTGAAAACATTTTGCAAAACTTTTAAAATCAATTTCCTTGTAATATAACAAGAACTCCTTCACTGTGGTCTACAGTTATTGAGGCATTTACAATTTTTACCGACTGCTCTGCTCCTTCAGATACAAATCCAAGGTACGCCTACACTGTCCGGCACTGTGCCACTTTCCAAACTGGCCTAAGTTTATGTAGAGTAGACTGTACCATCTCTTAGTAGAAGTACTAAACAAAAGTTGTGCCTCAAAATTTAAGGCGATCGCTTTTGCAAGTGCATAGGTATTTCCAAAAAGGTAGTGTTTTCTATATTATAAAAAGAAAAAAAAAACTGTTGCAGTGAGTGTACCGTAAAAACCTGAGAAGACACCCCTTTCTCTTTGTAGGAGAGTTGCAATACACCTTAATGACTGAAAAGCACCTCCCACTACCTTTTGCTATTTTTTTTTCCACCTGTTTCTCAGCTATAGAATTCTGCAGCGGCAGGTCTTGGGAGCCCAAGTTCCAATTCTGTAGACATGCGCACAATTTCTTACAACTTATACGAAGTGGTTCCTCAGGGGTCACATTTTGAGTTGTCGCAAATTGCTGAAATATTTGAAAATTGTCTTCCTCTCTGGCCTGTAAATGCATGCATATTAGATAAAAAATTTGACCAAAGGCACATGTGTGCATTTTTCTTAGAGGCTCTTAAGACGTCATGCTGACGTTTGGTCCGTTTGGTACCTCGAAATATTTTCCAATTATCCATCACCCTATGGGGCCACTTGACCAGGATCTTGCGGTATTTGTTTTGGCTGTGTTTGTTCTTTCGCAGAGTTGACTAAGAATGCGACGAATAGCGGGTAAATTTATAGCAGTGGTACATGCGAGTCATGTGGTATCCCAAGTGCCGCCCTGTGCCAGAAAGAGAGCTAACTTCCATGCAACGAGCAGTTTTACAAACATTGATGGCTAGAGCTACCACTGCAAAGCGTTTAGAATAAAAACAATAGAGTATGTAAAATAACATTGCTAAATGTGAACAATTTCAATACAGAGCCTCAAAATTTATTTTTATTTCCTATCGTAGAATGCAATCGGTAACAAGCCTAAGAACAAAGGCTCATATTGCACAAAAAGAAAATTGAACGTCAACAGCATGATTTTCAGATTTTCCATGGTGTTTACAAAACAGAGATCTCATCCTCTCTCGACACATGGAATAAGTTACGGAAGGACATTGTACTGTGTAGCGATATTAAATATTTCGAAGGTGCAATATTGAATTAAATGTACTGGTGAAAGTGTACTCACTTGATAACCAATGTTCTGCTGAGTTGACTGCAAAGTGCGTATTGAATGTTGCATTTTTTTTCTTTCTCGTTTGCTCTTGCATCGTGTCAAGTTGCAAGGTTTTCTTTCCTTTTGAATTGATTTTGAAACTTCTGTAATTGTACCCAGTTGAGCTGCTTCTGTTTTGGCATGTATGCTAACAGTATGAATGAACAAATAAATAATAAAAACATTCGCAACCCTGTTATGGTGCAAGAGCTATCTGTTCGTCTTCCAAGCTTAGATTACGCTGCTCTGTTTCATTTTTACAGGTTAACGATACGGACAATGGTTGACTGAGCTGCAGGGGCTTTCTGGAATTACAGCTTACTTCACCAAGAAGTGCAAAAACATTTTGCGACCTGTCTGGCGATTATGATGATCACACGCAGTGTTTAATGGTAGAAGGGCCACTACATCTGGCCAGAGAACAGCAAATGATCTGCTGCCACACTGCCAAGTGTAAATCACTCTGATTTTGTTACGTAGTCATCACTGTGTCAAAGGAAACATTGCTTGCGTATTGCTTTTCTGGTTTGGTGCAACTTGTAAGTGGTGTGCGCTTGATTTTAATAAAATGCAAGGGCAGTTTAATCCAGCTGTAATGAATTCTTAGCGAGATCCAGTAGCTTTTACGAATGTATATTTGTATGTAGTTTTTAACACTCAAAATGATCATAAAGGGGCCCTGCAATGTTTTTTAGAGCATGGTCCGAAAACTCCACTGATCGGTAGTCGATGCTCCCGAGAACACGCAACCAAATAATACATCACGGCACGCGACAAGGAATTTACAATACATTCTCTAAGTCAGTTAAAGATAGTTTTCTCGTCTCTTGACAAATGATACTATAGTATACTAAAATATTATTGTGTCATGGACTTAAGCTCTATGCCATTAGCCGATTTGAGCACGGCACGTTCAAGAGTTGCTGAAGCCACCCCATACCACGTGTCCGTGGCACTGAAAAGCCACGTGTTTGAAGAAAGAAAAAAGTGCTCAGGGTCACAAGCACGCTTGACAGGCCTTCTCCTGTGCCATCCCTCTCTGCTATCTTCCAGCGCTTTCGACGGGACAAGAAGACAGAATGTAATTGCAGCGTGCGAGAAATCTTCATAACTCTGGTCGTACTGGACGGATTCTAAAAATATTTGCGACGATGGATTGACGCGGCATTAAGCTCTTTTAGCAAAGCCATTCTACGGCTGCATGGGAAAGTGTGGCAGGGCCTCTTTAAGACAGATCTAATTTTTTCATGTGTAGATCCATGTTCTTGTGCACACGTCCCTACCATGTGCTGCACCAGTGTACAGCTCATAACTTTTGGAAAACCTTTTCTCTGCACAGTTTTACTGTGTTGTTCGGGCACTTGCTGGGATGTGAATAAAAACATTAATATTAATAATTTATGAAATTTGATTTCCCGAAACCACAATACAATTATGAGCGACGCCGCAGTGGAGGACTCTAAATTTTGACCACCTGAGGTTCTTTATATGTGCACCTACAGCTAGGTACACAGGTCTAAAAGGGCCAGTAAACAACCTCGAGTCCCGAAAATTGTTATAAAGAGAAATATGTGCACTTTTGCTATGTGAACAAGATGCTGCAAGAATTATGCGAATACATGCTATATTAAAGGGATACTGAACAAAAACTGGAAAAGGCGACGAAACTTCGAAATTCGACTTGGAAGATGCCACTGTTCCGACAAAGGAAACTTATTTCTCGCTTTTTTGATGGATTGTCAGCGTGCAGCAGCTGCTTGCGAGCGCGAGCCATTATGTCACATTGAACAAGGAGCACGCAGGATGCACGTGTTCTTGTCCTCCTTTACCTTTTCTCCGCCTCTCTTTTCACTCCACTTTGTCACAAAAGGGTTTGTGCTTTGCCCAGCCAGAAGTATTGTTCGGTGCTGTTGCTGTTCATACCGGTTTTGGGAACCGAACTGGAAGAAGAGTGAGCCGTGAGACCCGAGCGATGGCTGGCAATGTTGACTTGCCAGTTTCGGGAAAGTCTGATGACACCAAAAGTCACCTTGTTCGCGGCGCTGAAGAATGCATTAAATTCACTATTTTCCTTGTAGTCTCTGCTAGGAATCAAGGTCATCTTTATCGATTTCAGGATCCTATCTATCGATGTGGCTGAAAATATTGGCGGCAAAAATTTTGTTCAGTATCCTTTTAAGCAAGTTACATGGGTTAGCACATCGGTTTCAGCTGCTTGCAAATTTTCACACGGCCTCGCCAACCTTTTTCCTTACAGTAAGAGGAAAGTGTAGACTATCATTGTTGCTGGTTTACACGAACCGACGAGCTGCATGCTACGTCAAATCGCCAACTTTGCGTCACTGCGCGTGAAACGAAGTTTGGTCAGGTGGAGGAAAGGAGTGCAAGAATATGTTTTTCGAAATGCAGTTTCTGTGCGGCTGCAATATTCGGAAAACGTGATCGCCGTAGTCTACTCAACAAATTGCCAAGCTTCTTTTTTTTTGGGGGGTAACAAAAAAGCCTCTTGAATGACCCTCTGCGCACTTTTGCCTCCATCGAAAATGCCTCGATTCGAATTCTTTCTCAAGACCTGTGGGTTAGCAGTTGAGCACCACAACCACTAGACTACTCTGGCTCGTTTTATTAATACCATCATTATTAGTATTAGCTTTGAACACTAGTACTTTAGTTGTAATTGGCTACTAATTGTAATCTCAAAGCAAGAGCCCCCTTTCTTTTTCTTTAAAAAGAAACACAACCATGGACCTGGAGCTGAAAATGCCTGCTAATTTTTTCATTGCTGTCACGGCCAATGCAAATTGGGCTTTAGGCACTGCTGCACTATCACTGCCAGGACCATTTCATGATCAAGCTCAGAGATAGTCATTTTACAGACATGTACATTAAGCTTAATCTGCATTACTATGGATCACACATCAGCTACAATTGTTTACAATTGTGATATCCAATCATGACCGACCTGTGTGACATAAATAAGCTTCACACAAAATGCTGTACATCACGGTCAATATGAACCGGTTCAAATTGAGGGAGAGCCACTGGACGTAATGCAGCTAGAATTCAGTGCTACAGGCCCAGCGCAGCATCAAAAACAAATGGCAAGGTGCCAAGTGCACGCTGCTTTGTTCAGTTCTCTGTGCCTGTGTGTTCAGTTCTCTGCCTCTGTGCAATAGCACTGACGGGTCAGTTTGTGTTGGTTCAGTTATGAATGGCACAAAAAAAAAAAAAAATGAAGAAAACCACACGCTGGCACCAGTGTGTGGTTTTCATGTGTGCTCCATGTGTTGTTTTTTGCGCCGTTCATAACCATGAATAATCTGTGCAAGTTTGAGAGGCTGTGATAGCGTGCACGAGTCGTTGCTAAGTGCCCACACACCAAGTTGCACTGATGCTGCTAGTAGTGCTCAAAAACTGCACTTCCTACACTACAGCTTCGAGCCAGACACTAATGAGAAAGAGCACACTGTGAGAAATTTATTGCTAAAGTTTCCCAGTCACAAGTTCATTATTCGCAGAGAAAACCAAGGTACAGGTTTCCATTTTTGAATTTCACGCCATTAGCAATTCCACAATGTAGTTTTGTAGTTTCGCAACATTGGCTCGAAATTTTCCGAGACTTCATATGCCAAGTTCATGGCAAACACAGATTACAATGTACTTCAATTTTAGCGATTAGAAGCCATTTTAATTTTATTGTTTAAAAGGACCTGGTAGACAATTTAGTTATTGGAAGCTGCTTCAACTTTAGCGATTGAAAGGACCCGGTAGACTCTTTCAGAAATTAACGTCACAGTAGTTGGTGCGGGAAACTCGTGGTGTCTCCACCTACAGTTTCTAAGCGTTTTGTGAAATTGTAATTTACTAATACGTCAAAGTGTTTTCTGCAAAAATATGCAAATACCGATGCTCTAATACCTTAAATAGTTACACTGTACGCACTCTGATGATATGTGGGGTTTAAAGTCCCAAAACCACCTTATGGTTATAAGACGCCGTAGTGGAGGGCTCCGGAAATTTCGACCACCTGGGGTTCTTTAACGTGCACCCAAATCTGAGCACAGGAGCCTACAACATTTCCGCTTCCATCGGAAATGCAGCCGGGATTCGAACCCGCGACCTGCGGGTCAGCAGCCGAGTACCTTAGCCACTAGACCACCGCGGCGGAGCTACTGTACGCACTCTTCTGCTATAGCTATTTAGCATTAGCTTGTAGCTAATGTGAAGTAGCAGCTGCGGACAACAGCTTCCACAGCCACGTCGCAAAGTCGCTGAAGGTACTGTGCTTGTTGCTGCGAGTAGACGAAACAGTGCCGTTCGCAGACGCAGAGCAAGCTCATTCTTGCGTCGCTAGCGTGCCATTGAACTGTTCAGACAGCGACAGACCAGTCAGTGGCAGTAACGATATTGCACAAACAGTCTCAACAAGTGAAACGATTCTTAATGATGCTCCCTTATCCTCAGTGCACTCGTATAAATATCTTGGGCTTAACATAACTAACAATCTATCCTGGCAGAAACACGTCGAATACGTCACTAATGATGCTAACCACATGCTCGGATTCACGATTCTTAATGATGCTCCCTTATCCTCAGTGCACTCGTATAAATATCTTGGGTTTAACATAACTAACAATCTATCCTGGCAGAAACACGTCGAATACGTCACTAATGATGCTAACCACATGCTCGGATATTTGCGACGAAACTTTTCTTCCGTACCCGTGTCAGTGAAACTATACCTTTACAAAACGTTAGTACGCTCTAAACTGGAATACGCATGCGCCATCTGGGATCCCGGTCAAGTAACCCTAACTCTCACTCTAGAAGCCGTTCAAAACCGTGCAACCCGTTTCATTTTGCGCAATTATCCCCGTCATGCCAGCGTCACAGCCATGAAAAAAACTCTGAACCTAACAGACTTATCGTTCCGTCGAAAATGCTCTCGCCTTTCTCTTATTCATAAAATTTATCATTACAATCCATCTTTAAAAAAGAGCCTTCTCTCTTCTCCCTCTTACATTTCACCTCGTTCCAATCATTGCTTTAAAGTAGGTGTGCCATTTTGCCGAACAAACCACTACATTGATTCCTTCATTCCCAGAACAAGCAAAGACTGGAACTGCCTTTCCACTGCCACAGCATCCCTCATCGACCCTGCAAACTTCAAACTCTCCATTTTGCAGCAATTGTAACATCTCGCTTACTTTTTGTTGTATAACCCCACTCCTTTCTGTAAAGCCTTCGGGCATGGAAAGTATTCAAATAAATAAACGTTGGCGGACACATACTTTAGCAGGGATCTAACATTAAACTGATTAACGCACCAGCTCGAGTATGCACAGCCCTAATTGCGAGTTTGTCAAACTTGCACGGTCGGCGGCACGCATTTCAATAGGGCAGCCCCTTGTGATAATTTAAGGCTTGGATAACATGATGAATTATACCGGTTTCTTTGGAGCTCGCACTTGGCAGAGTGGCGGCACTCGTGCACACCAACGTCTAAAGCAGATGTGCAAAAATCATTGTGGGATGAACGTTTAATGGAGGTGAACAAACGATGATCCAATGTCCAGAGGTGTCTCCTTGCGCACATCGAGAGCTTGGGGTCCGTCATGTAAGTGCAAGGGCACCGTCCGATGCAGTGACCAGGTGGCGGTATTACAGTCCGGGCAGAGTAGAGGACACCCTCTTCAGGCTTTCCTCCTGTGCCAGCCAGGCTTTGTCTCCGCCACTCATGGCTCCGGCTTACTTGGACCTCTCACGCATCTTCCTGCGCTTGCGCTTCAACCTTCGCATCCGCTTCTTGCGCCACTTGGCCCTCATGTCTGGCACGTACCTGCGTTGACATGAAAAGACAATCAGTACAAGAGACTTAGCATAAAATGGGGGCAAAAGGAAAGTCATGTACACTGCCATCCTTTGTTACAGGAAACGTGCAAGCATGCAGCCCCCACTCTACAGCGGCATCTATTGGCAAGCAAAGCAACTAGTCATTGCCGCTGGACAAGCGTTGCTAGATTACACTCCCACTTCGAAAACAGTGGGCGATGCCGTCAAAGCCGGATATGGCTTTTAAAACTCTCAGTTGATGGTGCAATACGCAGCTGCCAAGGAGCACAGCTAAAACTTGCCTGTTCCCTTTAATAAAAGACCTGTGTACGCTAAGGGACAAGTTTTTCCTGTGGAGCCGAGCTCCATCCAAATTTAAACTGCTTTATTGCAACGACAAAAATGCGACGAAGTGAACAACCACATAACCTTGATTGTCCCATACAGTTTTGACAGCAGCTTGCTTGAGTGGTGAGCAGCTTTTAGACTGACACTACTAGCTACCCAAGTTCCACATGAAGGTGACTAGATCAAAGCACGCTGAGTACGTTGAAACAAAGGAATTCGCTTAAAAAAAAAAAAAAAACGCCAATTTCGCGCGCTCGTATTTGCAGTCACCCATAGCACGCGATCCGAGATGTTCGGTGCATCGCGTTATAGTTAATGCATCGCGGTTACCCGATTTTATGACACTTTATTAATGAGCTTCCAAGAACACGTGCCTCGCGGATCACCTTGACGAGATGCATGAGCTTCAAGAATAGTGATGGATAAAATTGATAAGATTTTTCTACTAGTAACTCCCAAGTTTACCTGTCCAATTATTAAGCTGTATACGCGATGCGATGATGCAAAAATTGTAATGGAGCGGTTAGTCAAAATAAAGACAAAGCAAATGCCACCCAACAAAATGTTGCCAGTTCACTGCAGGAATGTCGTGCGATGACACCCGACACCGGGACTTCGCTCGCTTTAGGCACGGATAAACAAGGCTTACGGACCATTGCCCATGTCGTGTAAACTGGAGGTGCACTTGCTAAATGGGAATTGCGGGAATTAAATCACACCATTTTCAATTTTGTTCGCTCACTCGAACGGCGATGTCGCACACATTCGAAGCCTACGTACAACGAATGAACGACTGCGTGCGTCATGAGCACAGTCCATTTAAAACATCGTGGTTTTTCATTTTCCTACTGGCCCACGGAGTTGCATGCGAAGGTCAAAAACACCACGCGTAGTAAAGCACGGCAAGAAGTGCTCGCAATCGCGCTCACCGCATGGCAAAGGGCACAATGCATACACAATATGACACAACTAAAACAAGCGAAAGTACGCCGATTAACATAAGAAAAAAACTTACTAAGAACTTGATACCCGGGATCCCTTTAAACGTGGTTATAATTGAAACGAAAGAAAACAGTGCAGTGAGTGATATATTTCGTCAAGACCCCGAAATCGCCTCAATATGCTTAATTTCGAGAATATGGTACGTTAATAGCCAAGTCTGGAAGTTCCGGTGATTCTGTTATGCATTTCGTAGCAACGATTACAAATAAAGTGGGCGGATTATTCGAGATTTACTCACCGCACACAACGATGCGTCCACGCACAGCAAAAGAGGGTTGACAAGTGTGAAAAGGTCACGTGACGACAAGCTCGTAGTCTTGTTACTCGGCTTCTTATGACTAAATGCTTTAAATGTTTCAACAACGCAAGTTTGTTTCAGTTTCGAGATGCTTCAGATATTACCTTCGCGTTTTATAAAAACGCGCCATTTTTCTACCATTCTAGCACACAGTTGTTACACCCTATGTTGTTAAACCAGGGCAGGGCTCAGATTATCTTTGTCAAAGGCTTTAGCAAAAGCTTTAATATAATTGTTTTTGGTTTGTCTCTGAACAGATCATTTCCACAAAAAAAACAAAAAAAAGAATAAAACATCTCCGTTCTTATGGTTTATGTGTTGAGTTTGTAAAGCTAAATAGACATAAATAGAGCATATCTAAAGGCGTATGTGAGCTTTTAGATAAACCCGGGATGCTATTCTGGACACTGTCTAATACCGCCATAATGTCAAATTTCGTAATTGTGGCATTTTAAGCCAATGAGAGAGGTCGTAGCAGCCCACAGAACGCACCAAAGGTACCCAAAGGTTTTCTCGACAAAGAAGGCCTGCAACATCGAGTTTCATGCAATTGTATGAAACTCTATGGCCTGCAATTTCCGTTCAGTGCATGGTACCCAGCCAACGTTTTACCCAGCGTTGTACCCAGCGCAAGAAGATCGTTCCGAAACCGAAAGTAACTTCGGTAATTTCAAGCCAATACAAGCCGCGTTGTTTAGGTCACGTGACTCTCTTGAACGACGTCACGTTTTGCTTTTATACATTCCTCTTTTTGTGCCCTCTTCGCCGTGTGCGCTAGCATCTACCCGTGCGGTAAGTAAATCCGGATTAATCAAACTATTTCATACGTATTTATGCCTCGTGTCTAGTTCCTAAATAATGTGTTGTTATTGCCAAGCATAACCAAGCTAAATATATGCCATTAAAACGTATTTTTCACGCTTAGCCGGCTTCTATGTCTTCACGAAAATCGGTGCGGTATGCGGCGATGCTCTATCTCCTGCACTGTGGACTAGTTGCTCACAGAATATTCATTATGTTGCACTGGTGATTTAGTTGGTGAACTGCAACGTTTCTATCGCCGGTCGTGCATGTACCAGAAAGACTGCCAGCATAACTAAGCAGGCACACCCAAGTCCTGCTTGGTCACGATCGGCCTATTTTGATAAGCCTTGAATGCGTGTTAAGTGCAGTGCGGATAGGTTTGCGTAGGATATGAGTGAACGAAAAACAACGCTACGACACGTGCTGTTTGGTCGTCGAACTTGCCTCTGATGGTGGTCAGTCTTACAATGGCTGCATTTTGCAAAATGTTTCGTGCATTGGTAGTTGTACAGACACACCGCGGTGGTCTAGTGGCTAAGGTACTCGGCTGCTGACCCGCAGGGCGCGGGTTCGAATCCCGGCTGCGGCGGCTGCATTTCCGATGGAGGCGGAAATGTTGTAGGCCCGTGTGCTCAGATTTGGGTGCACGTTAAAGAACCCCAGGTGGTCTAAATTTCCGGAGCCCTCCACTACGGCGTCTCTCATAATCATATAGTGGTTTTGGGACGTTAAACCCCACATATCAATCAATCAGTTGTACAGACACTGTAGACCGTGAGAAACCTCCTAATGGCAGTGATCATTCGCACGTTATACTGTGAGCGGAGCTTTATGTTCGTTCCCAATTTTCTTGAGCCGTCTCTGCCGGGTACTGCTGCCCGATCGGTTGCTCAGTCTTCCAGGCCGAATCGCAAATATTTTCTGCCGACATTTTCTCACTGAGCGTTGCCGTCATCATATTAGGAGGCGCTAGTTGTTAGGTCCTTTCTGGAGTGTTTGTTACCCGTCCCAGATAACTCTGCCATAGAAGAGCAATTTGCCAGTTGGCCGACTTCAATTAGCCCATGATTAATCTCATTAGCACTAAGTCGGCAAGGAGTGCCCAAAACATGTGACAGTGCCTTAGCCCGAATCAAAAACTCCACTGCCACCTAACTTCTAAAGACATACACTAAGAAGCGATAACATTACCATGATAAAGGGAATCAGGTAAGGAGATAATAGTATCCTCGATGTCTTTGAATGCCTGCTTAAAAGAAGTGGGAACGAAGGTTAAAGTCCGAGCAACGTACACTTTACTCATCATTATCTAGTACTCCTCTGTAATAAAGACAAGGAACTCTGGAATGTGACTGAGAACATCCTGGTGAACGATGAACCGTTCACTATTGGAAACCATGCTGTTGAGTGTATGCAAGACAGTTTATACCTAGGACAACTATTAACAAAACAGTAGAGCCTGATAATTCACAAAAAAAAATCACTGAAGACTAAGAATGGGCCGGAGCACGTGTGGGAGGCACTCTTAAAGTCTGAAAAATGCGACTCAATAAAATGAAAATTGTGCATAGAACATTCAAATGGTGAGCTGCTAGATGGGAAACAAACAAAAATAAATTTGTCACAATAAAATTAGCCCATTCACCATTGCAAAAAGATTGTACCAAATTTACTGGGAAAAAGATTTTTTTGTTCAATTTGTAGAGCTTGGTTATTTTTTCTGAATAGAATACAACCATTTAAGAAAGGGAAACAAGACAACCACCTATGTGTAGCATAAAGCCACAAGGAAATCGTACGGATTTCTCAAAAAGAAAAGCCTCCTAGTTGCGAAAAAATTTTTCCTGGTTCGGGGTTCGAACCCGGGACCAATGCCTTTCTAGGGCAGTCGCTCTGCCAATTGAGCTAGAGGAAGCTAGCAATTGACAGCTCCAGGGTGAATTCATTGACAACTCGAAGCACATGGACACAAGTAATGCAAACCCGCAAGGTGCTTGAAGGCTTAAGAAAGGGAAAGAAGACAACCACTCGTTTGTAGCATGAAGCAACCTCAATTTCGTAGTACAAAGTATGCTGGCATTTACAGTATCCCAAGTGTTACAAGTGCCAAGGCACCTTGTGAGATCGCCATCACGAATTTAACCGCCTCCCTGACACGCTGATTGTGCACGTAGTGGTCGCGGACAAGTTTGTATGTACAGTATCTTGGTAAGCCATCTATGTTTGCAGGTAAGTGCTTGGCTATGACACCCAGAATGAAGTTACACCTGAAGCACAAATATCACAGAGTTTTTTCAAGTAGTCTTTTTTTTTTTGTTAATACGCGCCAGTCAGACAGGCCGGTATTTTTCGGAAAATCGCAATGTGCGTTCTTAATTTTAGGTAATAACTTTCGGCGAAGAAACACCCCGAAGCTCTGCTTCCTCTTCGGGGACTACTAAATCAACTTGCCTCACTAGCAGCCCTCAATCTTGCATCGTAGGGCAAAACTAAACGGGCGCAAGCACGGAGACAACACGGCAGCGGTAGGCGATGGAGTCGGTAGGTACCCGGGCATGTCGGTGGCGCATTTCGGAAGTGACGAAGGGGCACTGTGTGACGCACGTGCACACTATGTATAAGCACTCAGCCTGGCAATCACATTAGCTGGCATTAACTGCTAGCTGCACTTGTCTATTGCTATGCTCCATTTTTTTCTCCCGTGTAGTATTTGTCATTCATGGCTGGAGCGTATTGGACTGATTGCATGCTTTTTGTTTCGAAACAGGTACGTGCTAGTCATGAGGGCCAAGTGGCGTAAGAAGCGGATGCGGAGGTTGAAGCGCAAGCGCAGGAAGATGCGTGAGAGGTCCAAGTAGACTGGACCCACGAGTGGTGGAGACGGGCCTGGCTGACTGGAGGGATGCCTGATGACGGCGTCGTTGACTTCCTGCCCTGGTTGTGATCTCGCCACCTGGCCGCTGCATCGGACGGTGCCCTTGCGCTTACATGACGGACCCCAAGATCTCGATGTGCGCAAGATACACCTTCGAACACATTGGATCATCACAACTGTGCATCCATAAAACCTCATCTCGGAAAGAATTCTTGTTCGTTTTGTTTTACTCAGAATTTGCCTGCTACTCTGCTGCACCGGGCTGGCGAGTAATTGGGACACTATTTCACATTTAATTTAGAATTTTTCTTGTTAAATAGACGGGGTGTGCAAGCACTGATACCAAAAAAAAAAAAAAGTGAGAACACCCCGTTGCCTTCTCTTGACTTTTCCTTCGTGTTGATTTTTGCACATGAATATCTGCCAACTAGCTGAGCATTTTCTTTCCAACATTTTTCAGTGAAAAAACAGGTCCTAATTGGGATTGTACATCAAAAAATACTCAAAAGGAGCATTAATTGCAAAAGGGCTGTTAAAATTAAGTCGTTTCTGTGCCCACCTTGGTAATACAGTCGTTTAGTTGCCTCACATGGCTATTGACCTGAAACTTGCTTCTTAGCACCTGGCTGCTGTAGTCTCATATTGGTAGAAGTAAAATGTAGAGGCCTGTGTTCTGTGAAATACACCATCAAAATTTCTGGGCCCCTGCATGGTGAACCTTCTAACTTGTGGTTTTGGCATGTGAAACCCTATATATTACTAGCAATTTCTGCACTGAACAAATTATGCTTTTAATTTGCTATTCACAAAGACTCCTAATGTAAGTAGAGTGTGGTGCTTCAGTAATAATTGTTGAGGTAGTTGAGCAATTTTATAGATTCTGTAAAAGCTGTTGGTTAACTGAGAGATTGAGGTAATAGGACACAACTTGATTCATCAGCATTCTCTGCCTACTGTACGAGTGCTCGGCCGTCCTTATTCCGTGATTCATTTTCTAACCTTTATTAGGCACCTTTGTTTTTAATTGACCTAAATATTCATACACTCGTGTGGATTATACTGGCTGTCTACTAACCATAGAGTTCTGGCAAGTTATCTTCACCCTTACTTTAACACGTGCTCAGTTTCATGTTGGCTCTTGCCATCATTCCTGAGCAGCACAATTTCATCTGGAAACGGTAAGTTGCTGAGATTTCCATTATTATTGCAGGTTTCTTCAAAGGGACTCTAAAGTCAAATGATTCACGTCAGTGTAAAAGCTCAATGGACATCTACAATGACAATCTCGTACAATTATTTACTAGTATTCGATCTAGCTGCGCAAAATTTTCCGTGCGCCATCAAATGCTGCTTGTTCGTTTTTGTTTGAATCGTGGGAAAATTCTGAACGTTACTATAGAGTCACTGGAGTGTGTCTACGTTACTACGGGGAGTAATGTCATGTAGCGGGGCCCAGTTACACCAAAACCAGTCGGCCATTTCGGACATGGAGGAAGAAAAAGCTGTTTAGGAAGGAAAACTAGTTTTTCCTTCCTCCATGATTTGATCAATGGCCGTTGTTGCTGCTGTGGCTCTCACTGCTTTCGCTCTTCCGTGCAGTAAAGCCGGGCAACGTTGTGCACGGCTGACGTCGACGTTCCATTTCTTGAGGCGGCTAATTTGAAGTGCACTAACTTGATGCAGACCACTAAAACGTAATTTTATTTCAAAAGAAGTCCTTTCGTGGCACAAAAGTAACACTACGAGGGTTCTGGACCACTATTTCAGCAATCAACGTGGATTTATAGTTGCCTTTATTGTCCATTTAACAGCACAGCCAGCTGAAACAGCTAGAGAAATTACATGCATTTGTTGCAATCCATCTATGGCAAAATAGTTCCCTGAATCTATCAAAATAGTTCCCTGACCTATGCGTATTATGTTCTGTGTGAAGCATGTACTGTGGGCGCCTTCAGTAACCGGCCATTTATTACAGTGAGCTTAGACGATTCCTACGAGTGCTGTGAAAGCACAGAAATGTGGGAAACAGAATCGTTTGCAAGAAAACATGCGCAATGGCGAATTTGTTATTAATTTAAAAACGTTGCGCTAATCCATACATCGTATGAAATCGTTATTTTTGTATTGTTTAGCATTAAACATACATAATTGCAGGGCTGTGTGTAAAAATATCACCTGAAAAGTCAGTTTTGTTCATGCGATTGAAATCGACTTAGTAGTAGTTGTGAAGTTTGGGATAGTTTTCTCCGGATCACAAGGGGCAAAAACAGAACTTGAAACAAAGGGAACGAATTGGAAAGAACCACCGAAAAGTGCCGACTCTCGCCTGAAAATCTGTAATGTTTGTGGACTTTATATCCGCGAATACTTTGAGGCAATAACCCACTTGGCCGAGAGTTCGCTAATCGACAAATGCATGGATGCTACGAGGTGGCGTTCCCTTTATTAGGAAATGGCAGTGACACGTGCTACCAGGCTCGACAAAAAGGGGGCAGGTGGTGAGAAACACTGTTTTGCCTAGTTCTTGTTTACTGACATTAAATATATACCTGTAGAAAACAGTTCTGTTATATTAACCGGATATGGGCTTCCTTTTTCGCAGAGTCCTCTGTAGAATTTTCCAGCAGCTTGTCGTGTTTTTTTAGCTTATTTATTGATGTAAATATTTAGTGACCATCCCATTCAAGCGAATATAGTTGTTTTAGGGATCATCACGTTCACCAATAGCATGTTTGTCGAGCACTAATTGTGTGTATGACGATGACCTTGAGTAGTGAAACGTATGTTGGGAAAATCGAAAAGTAACATCCACTGGCACATGTGCATTCAACCAAAATAATTAAATAGGTGCTTTCATTCACGTTTGTTATTTTTCGCAAAATCTTAAGCTTGCCTTCGCATTTGAATGACAATTTCTTTTCCAAATAAAACCATTATCGAAAATTAGAAAATTAATCCGATTCTCACTTATTTTGCGCTTCTTCGAAGAGGGCATGCAGTCCTTTTTTGAGGGGTGGTTTTTGAGTGTATATTTGCTTGTTAGCTGGGCAGCATCTGGCTACTCTAATCATCATCATTCTCGGCCTCTGTTAGTCCACTGCCGGACTAAGACCTCTCCCAGTGATCTTCAGTTTATTCTATGCTGTGTCAGCTCATTCCATGTTATCCCTGTGAACTTCTGCATTTCAGCACTTCATCTAACTCTCTGCCTTCCCCGACTGCCTTTTCCATCCATTGGTAATCGATATGTTGCTCGTACTATCCCCCGGGTTCCGTTTTACGCATTATGGGACCAGCTCAGGTCCACATATTTCGATTGATGTCAGCTATAGGATACCTACAACTCCTGTCTGTTCTCTTACCCATGCTACTGTCTCTAATCTCAATGTTAATCCCATGCTTCTGCGTTCCATTGCACACTACGTGGTCCCCAGCTTTCGCTATAGTTTTGTTGTGCTCCACGTTTCAGCCCCATACGTCAGAACTGGCAGCATGCAGCGGTTGTGTACTTATCGCTTTATTCGTAGAAGCAGATTTCCCTGCTGAATGCGCTGCAGCCCACTCTTCGGGATATTTCTTTTTTTTTTTTGATTAGGCTATCCCATGAGTAGTTCCCCTAGGTATGCTGAAGGCAATCCGATGTTCCTTAGAATAGTAACATGCTCCCCTATGAATGTTTTTAAACCCTACCGGAACGGGGGAAAAGGGGAGGCGGGCGCTGTGATAAACACTGTTTTTTATCCCAGTCGAGAACACGCTTCACAATGGATGAAAATTAAGTCATCTAGCACTTACTGAACTCAATCACGAACTGCTTGTGCAAACATGTTTACTCCCTTGATGCAAAGTATTGAGCTTGCTCAGAGAATTAGTAATTAACTTGTGAATAGCTGGCCTGTTTGACCCCGGTCGCAGTTCTTTCTGTTCTTCATAAAATTTCAGCGCATCTTCGGAATCCCAGCCTGCGATACGTGCTCCTCTGAAATATGCATTAATGTTCATGTTCCTAAGCTGCTCTGAATTGCCATTCCCCTCGGTGAAAAATGATAAAAAATATATCGGTTTCTTTCCAAAATTAGATAATGCTTCGGTTAGCGTATCGTCCTCGTCAAAGGCATAGGCTTCGTTTTAGGTTTTTGTGCCATTCAAATACTGAATTTTGTAATCATAGGTTCCTCCATCTCTTCTAGCCGCACCGAATGTGCAACATCAAGCCTTTCGGCCTGTCTACCACCACCGCCTAATGATATATATTTAGCACATGGAAGGATGATTGGCAGACTAAGTCACTGCAAGAAAATATGTGTCGCCTAGACGCTTTAGGCCAGGGGTCGGTGAACTTTTGAGGCGGAGGGTTGAGTTCGGGCCCATAGCCAGGAATATTTTTCGGGGAGGAGGGATCAATAGTTTGCAGACCTTGAAAAACGCTTATTTTTATAATTTGTTCTTAGGTATAACACCCCCTCCAAAAAAACTTTGGAGATGAGGGCTCTTACGCCACTTTCGGACGTAAGACGAAAACGAGGAGTTCCTCTTACGTCTCTTTCATTGAAGCCTTGGGGAAGCTAGAAGTCGGCCATATCGGCAGGGCCGAGTTCTCTCTTTATCATCGCTTGTATTGCGTCCCATGCCGGAAAAATCGGCACAGGTGTTCTGGGGGCGAAGCAGACAAAGAAGAACAATTCTTCGCCAATCCTTTACAGTAGGTGTTAGTCACAGTAGAAGTTGAAAAAGAACAAGAACATGCCCGTTCATGATGGTTTCTTGTCGGCTCTGCATGGCACAATGATAGGCTTACCAGCTCCGCTTTCAAAACACAGCTGCATTCTGCTGTGCTCTGGTACAAGCTGTCTTTACTGTCTTGGCTCGATCACCCATCAATACTACGAAAGCACTGGCGCGTTAATTACGGTGGAATATGTTGTGACGTAATGCACATGGATTAGAGAAACAACATAGTTTCGCTGCAAGGGCGTACCAGTGAATGCGACGCTGGAAGCTAACCCATCGCGATCCGATCTGGCATAGCTATGCAAAACGCGTATGCATAAGGGAATACGGTCGCTCCAAGCGGATAAACGGTTTTCGTGCTTCAGCGGCGAGAGCACGTGCAGCAAGCACAAGGGTATGATCTTGTGGTTGTCGGCAGGATTTGCTCTTGGGGTGTGCGAACCCTTGTTGCACTGTGGCTGGAGGAGAGGAGATCACT